GAGATGCTTTTCATCTCTTACACGAGTTGGTTCAGTTGATAAATCGTTGAGCTTAAGTTTTAAATTTGGGGCGAATTGGACAAACTAAATTTGCTTATCTTAAAAACTGATAAGCGCAGTGATAAGCCCGATAGCGTTTATTTTCGAGTGGATACTACCATTATATATTCAGATAAGCTTAAGTTTTAAATTTGGGGAGATTTGGACAAACTAAATTTGCTTATCTTAAAAACTGATAAGCGCAGTGATAAGCCCGATAGCGTTAATTTTCGAATGCATATCATCATTATAAATTCAGGAAAGCTTAAGTTTTAAGTTTGGGGCGATTTGGATAAACTAAATTTGCTTATCTGAAAAATTGATAACTTCGTTGATAAGCCTCATATCGTTAATTTTCGAATGCATATCATCATTATAAATTCAGAAAAGCTTAAGTTTTAAATTTGGGGCGATTTGAGGCTGTTTTAATAGCTTCTATGTAATTACCTTTATGTATATCATAAATACCTATACATTGTTACGGCTCCTGCCGTATAAGCCCCTCCCTCAGAAACTTTGACCCCAAAAAAGTCATGGTAGCGGTCATTTCGCAGCGGACAACAAAAGCGGAAAATGTGGCACTTCTGACGAAGAAAAATCTGGCATCAGGTTGTCAGCCGCGAAATGACCGCTAAGGTCACTTTTTTAACGATTTATATGTAGGTCGAAAAACCGCCAATTTTCGAATTTTGAGTATTGATGCATCAAAATGTTCATATTCATGATGGAAGTCAAATGTCAAATGCAAGTTGGTATCTACTTCTTTCTGTACCGAGTGTACATTGACCTTCTCATTTTTCCCAATTTTCTTCCCCAATTTTTGAAGGGGGTGTGGTTGAATATAATTCAAAAACAGCTATGCTATATTAATCCCCCACCCAAAACTGAATTTGTAATTTTTTATGTGCAATTTGGTGAAATCGATGCGAAAAAGACTTGCACTTTTGGCTCATTTTGTACCTGCTCAGGATTCCGGGAGGAATTGGAAATTCGGAATTCTTAATGATCCGAAGGACGACGATGTGCCAGTTTTATTACTTAATCTTGGAAAAAACGATTAATTTATTGTTGTCTGTTAATGTTTGAAGAGTAAAAGAATATTTAACTTCACTTATTTTGAATGAACTTATATGAAATAAATGATATGGCGGGTATTCATGAGGTACTCAATTATTAATTTATATATTCATGCATATCATTTGTTATGTATTCATTTCTTCGTGGCCTTAGTATGATAAATGTGGTTTACGAAAAGTAAGTGGTGAACCTTCGTAAAAATCGTAACGTGGTTTTTGATGACAAAAACCTACTCCGCTTACAAAATTAACTGACATATGTAAGTTAATTTACGATACGAATAATATCTGTAAATACTAAGGTTGCCATCAGTATATGGCTGATGTAGTTTAGTTGTAAGTGACGAAGTGGCAGCCATATGAAGCGGTGTATCCTTGCTCATCTTTAGCAATGTTCTTTAGCAATGTTCTAAGTCCCAAATTCCTTCGCTGTGAAGAGGGAAACTGTTGGAACCAAGGCCGTGATACATATTCAATTATTTGATACTGAGGTAATAATGATATCACTATGTACTTATGTACCAACAAATGGAAAGGCGGAAATTTTTTGAATGTAACCAACCAGTTTATATTCCGGGTGGCTGCACTCGTCCTCGTCTTCATTTTGAACTAGTTTCTTTTTCCGTAAACCTCGTTTCCATTGTTCCATTTCGTCAAACTGCGCTCTGCGAAACACTAAATCTTGAAGCAGATCTCTGCCCAAGTCGTCCAGGGCCTTACCCTAAGGGATGTAAAAACTTTCAAACTACTAAGCTGTTTCGCTAATTAAATATTGTGAGACAACGGAAGGTCCCTCCATCCTAGTGCGACGCAGTGTGGCCAGCTTTGGAATACCGACCATGTTTCCTTTCTTAATTGCAGTGGTGAGTGTTTCCTGGAATTCCTCGCGCCGGAAAACTGACCCTTTTTTACTTTTCAATTCTTCTCTTAATTCCGTTCTGGATGTCCCACTCATCGGCCGAGTTACAGGCTCTGAAAGGTCATGATGCAGTGTATCGCGTGGCCTTAAATCATCATTTCCATTTTTACTTTGCTTATATTTATTCTTTATTAAGGACATCACTTACCACACCACTATTTTAGCGTCCTCGAGCCCCCTAGGTTCGTTGTACAGGTAACAATCGTATTTCATTTTGCAAATATTTCTGCCGCAATGCCCAATGGCTTTAACGTAGTAATTTGACGTGTTGGTTTCCGCATTATCCTTGTTCCAATGTGCCACAAAGTGATCGTCGAGACTAATACTAAATAAAACTTTGAATCAACGAAGGCGTGGCGTCACTATTGTTTACTGATTTGCGAAACCCCTTAGCCTAATCCTTAAATTTCATCAGGTATTGTCTGAAGTTTAATTTCTGACTAGTTTTGCGAAGGAGGAGGAGATGATGATGCAAACTCGTTTTCTTGTGGGGGAGGGGATGGGTCGCTTCCTTTCTCCGTGGTAGATGGAGGAGGAGATGGGTGCGGGGGGTAAGAGATATTATTATCGAGTGTTATGGTGATTCATGCGCTGAAAATCGGATGCGTAGCTGTAGTTCTCCTCATATCATCTTCACATGACGGCTGAATGGTGTTGTTGTCAAGCTTTGGCTTTCTTCCGCTTCTTCCCATGGACCCATGAACACAGTAGAGGAAGGGATGATGATTTTCTCTTCCTTGAACAGATTTTCAGGTGTGGATGAAACAGTGGTGGGATTATTGCTTTCTTTTTCTTCTTCCTTGTAACGGGTAGAAGATGGGATAGATACTTTTTCCTCTTTAAATTCGTATTCAGGTCTTGATGATTTATTCACCAAGCTATGATTTATTGCTTCGACCCATGGCTCCAAAGTCGTGGTGGTTCGTGGGTCGAAAGATTCCCAGCTTAGTTCTTCGTATCCGTCGTCAGAAGTTGGCCGGGCGTAAAATCATGTAGTTATGATTAGGTCGATAATGCCCAGCATTTTCAGTTGGAAATAACTATCCAGCAATCTTGTATTAATTCCAAATTGGCACGCTAGATTAAAATAGGCAATCTATCCTTGTACAATTTAAGGAGTCGTAAAATAAGTGTACTCGACCGTCTGGTGAGCTAACTAGTGTACAGTGGCCCAAAGTCTGTGAGAGACTGAAAATAAGTATCCAGGAAATGTAGACCTTGGTGTTAATGCATGACGCATAACCTGCAGTCGCCACTGTACGAGCGTGGGACAGAATTTATACATATTTCACACGTTCGATGTCTAGTCACCAAATCCGCAAATAGAATTATGTGCACAAAAGGCAAATTGTGTTAGGTCTGAAGGGTAAAAGTATCCTGTCGCAGAAATCTGATCCTCTTGAGTAACAAAATGCAAGAAACAAGTTGTTTAAGTTAGCAGAATTATCTGAGTCATGAAAATTATAGAAATATTAGGTATGTAGTTTAAATTTGATACTACCTTGGTATAATTATGTTAATGATAATGACTTCCTAACACAGAAATATATTAAGCAACTGTATCTTTATTAATTTCACCAAATAGTACCCAAATCATGGGGAATGCATATTGTGTGAGTGTATAAGGCGTTGAAAAGGGCCGAAAAGGGGGTTTTTCAAGTGTCGCCATACTGCGCCCGGCGTTGTGGTTGACCAAATGCTTTCAAATTTGGAGGGTAAGCTACACACACATAGGCCTACAACCTAAGCCAATTTTAATGTCAAAGGTCAACCGGGGGACCATTTCGCCCCCGGGAGTGTGGCCCAACGAAATTTCACTGACGGTCCTTCCAGCCCTCAAGACGGAAGAATATATGCAGGACGAGGTCTGGGGAATTGTTGGAAAGTGCCCCATAAGGCCACCGCAGCGTGGTACCGTAATTTGGTAAATCGACGCCATGAACTAAAAAGAATTTTATGACTCAACGAGCAATTTTCAAAATCACTGAAAATATATCTCGCATTGATGAGTAATGCTACACACGAAATGCATTTTTAGGCCATGTTAGAAGTTGAGAGGTTTTAAAAATTTCCATTCAAGGGTATGCATACTTACATAGGTATATATGTAGAAAAATTAATGAATTTGTAAAGGAACCTATTATGAAGAGAAGCTTATGTCACCATTTGGGGGTCAAGCAAATGTTGATAATTTGATTATTGACAAAGAAACGTCAGGTGGGTGTCGAAGAATTGACATAATATAATTCCTCGACATAATATATGAACGGGCCCAAAGAGACCAGGTGATTGAGTGGTGGTGGCCCCTCTCGGGCCACAGCCAGATAATTTTCTCTGGTGGTAAACTATCTTACCACTAGAGAACAGATCAAATGCGGTGCCGAAGCTTAATTTACTGGTTCGGTTCGGTTCTAGTTCCTGCGAGGACTCTGCACGGTTAGAGTTCCTGGAAAGTGTATTTGAAAAAAACCACACGTAAAAAAGATGAAAAAGTGAGATTTTTGGAGCACACACGATTTCGTTCCAGCTGCCAAACGTGGTGGCTGCAACTCTCACCGCCACCACCGCATCAAAAATGACGTTGAAACCACATAGGTGGCGTCTGCACCCCTATTTCTGAGTCGTGTCTCCCCAAATTCCAGGTTCTACGATGGAGGGTCTGGTGCACAAATTGGGGTGCAGACGCCACCTATGTGACTTCAACGTCATTTTTGATGCCAGGATATGTGGGGATTGGTGGTGGTGGCGGTGAGGCACGATGGTGCACCACCGTCGTGGGGCGAAGCACACACTGCTTGGCCGGCCAGCAGCTACCACGTGCTGCATGATTGCTACGATTAAGGGGGGAAAATGAACCCTCTATCGTGGCGTTTTTCCTTATGCACTTTCCGCGAACCCTTTCTGGCTCACTCAAAATAAAAAAAGCCAGTTGGGTTCGCCGCGTGAACTAGTCCGGTTCGGTTCGGTAATTAAAAAAAAATATTGGTTCGGTTCGGTTCGATTTCCCAAACTAGCAAGTGTGGTACCACACTTCTTACCTAAGAAGTTTCGGGTGAAAACAAAGCGTCTTCGGGTAAGTTCACGCGACTTAGGGTGTTCCGCCAAGTTCACGTTCGGCTTCGGGTAGCTTCATGCACATTTGTCCAGCCGAAGGCGACGTGGGAAAGACAGAAAGTAAACATCAGCTGCTAAAATGCAGCAAAGTTTTCGGAATATTTTTTGTCTCTTGCAAATTATTCTACAGTAAAAAAGTGTTCACCACGAATAGTATCGTTAATTGTCGACAGACGTTTATCATTATGGAGACGTCAATAAAAAAGGAGAATACCTGCAGCAATTGTTGTGCTCAGCAGAAAGAAATTTCTAACTTGGTGTCTTCACTGGCAAGAATTGGTGGTGAGTTGAAATTAATTAGTCAAAAATTATCTAATTTATATTTATGGGTCTGTAGTTTTGTATTGAGTTGTAATTTTAATTTTTTGTTATTATTAATCTTTTTTACCTGTAGGGAACGACGGAGAGGAAAATTTGTCAATTTCTGCCGCGATCTCGTCCCTATTTTGTTTCTGGGTGGGGGAGGAGGCGTACGACGTAAAATTTCGAAGGGAAGATCTTTCGCTGCTGTTATGTGCGAAATGCGTGCAAATTTTGCAAATTGTGTACAACTTCTCGACCCAGTTTATCGAATTGAGCCGGAAGGAGGGTCAGGTTTCTAAGAAATTGGAGGAATTGAGGCACAAAGTATTTAATGGGCAGAAAACCACACCCACCTCGAGGAACGAGGCCCGACTGAGAAGGGGAAGTAGACGATTTGAAGATGTGACGAAGGAGGAGGAGCGTCGCCCAGATTGTTCGACCGCTGAGGTGAAAGAAGAACCATTATCTCTGGACGAGGATGAAATGCAGGTGGACGAAAATTACGTCGAAACATTCAACCTGGATGACAATGTAGACTTATCAGGTTACAATTTAAGTACATACGTTTGAGGATATGTATAATTGAGTGATTTACATAAATATTATGTAGTCAATTCGCGTGTACGAGTTGCAAAGTAATTTTGACAAAAATTGCGAACTAAATACTAGCCGTGAAAATGTGCAAGTTCGCAAATGAATTATTAAGTCAGCATTTTTTCCGGAATTGCAAACTTATTTTTTGTAATCGAGTGAATACCCTTCTTGTCTTTGCTAACTATGCGAACTCATAATCATTGCCCTCAGTAATACAATTTAAATGATTATAGGTGGTGATAACAATGATGATGACGAAGAATTTGAAATTGACCCCCTCAAATTCCTGGAGGACGAGGAGGCATCCTGTCCCACTCCAAATTCCCTTCTTGGCAGTGATTATCTTCCCTCCGAGTCTGAATCTGACTCTGCAAATCGTCATAAAATTCGCCAAAAAGAATTCCCCTGTCCTGTGGAACATTGTGTCAGAAGTTTTAATAGAAATGACCGCTTAAGACATCATTTAGCGCATGCGCACCCGGAAGTCCCGCTCCCGGAAAAAAGAAAAAAAGGGCGACCCCCCCTATCATCCGAGACCAGAAAGTATCCTTGTCCGGAGGAATCCTGTGGGAGAACGTTTTCGCGAAAAGATCGGTTGCAACAACATGCGAAATCTGAGCACAAAGTGAATTTAGTGGAGGTAGCCAAGACGCCTAGAGGAGAGTCCGACCGTGCTCATGCGAAGAAAGAAAGCAGGGAGAGAAGCGATAAAAAACCGCGTCGCCGGATAGATAAGCCGTGTCCAATTTGTGGAAAGTTGGTGCGATCCACTGGTCTCGCAGCGCACGTGAGAATACATACGAAAGAGGTGAGATATTTTTGATATATTTGCAAATTTGGTCGCGTTAAGTTAATGTGAAGTTAAGATTTTGCAAAATTGCAAGAAATTAGCGACATTTTTAAATTTTCTTAAGCGTTATTGCTCACGAATTCATTTCAATAATTTTGTGGAAGTCTGGAATATATATTCTTATTTTTTCCATTGTTTTTAATTTTGCAGAAAAATCCAAATTATAAGAAACGCATCCGTATCCCCACCAAAAGTTTGTGCCCCACTTGTGGAAAGCTCATAAGGACAAGCTGCCTTCACACCCATATTGCCACTCATACTGCACAGGTTTTGTAAAAATAAAAAAAAAACATTGCAAATTTTGAAATATTTTTTTACACTATAAATTTTCTCTGCAGAAAAACATTCCCTGCCTCCAATGCGACAAGCTGTTTCGGACCGAGCGAAATTTGGGCATCCACGTGGACGAGGTGCACAACAAGGTTCGCTCTATCTGTCCGCATTGTGGGATCACGTGCGCGCGAAAATGGGCGCTTGACCAGCACGTGAAAACGAAACACCTCGACCCCGCCGAGAAACGGTATGAGTGCGAAACCTGTGGGAAAAGTTATCGCCAAGAGCGCCATTTGCGTCACCACGTGCGCCTCCATGACAACGAAGGAAGGAAAGATTTCACGTGTCCGATCTGCTCGAAAGTCTTTTGTAGGAAGGAGAATGTCAAGCTGCATTTGAAAAGTGGGCAGCCCTGTGGAAATTTGTATGCGGAGGGGAAGACGGTGTAAATTAATAAACTATGAGGGTATTCATTTCTTCGTATCCTTTTATTTTATTTATTTAGCATTTTCAATATTTACTGTGTTTATTGATAACATCTATTTAGTATTTTTTTTTCATTTACATCAGTTTGGCAAAAATATCTGCAGATTAAAAAAAATTATGTACATGAAGAAATATGTACAGATTTATTTTTAATTTACGTGTTTGTCTTATACCAATCCCGAATTGCCAAAGTTACGCAATCTACGAATCCTAATTAACTTATGAACCTTGTATACATATCAGCCCTTAAAAATATCTTAAAGTTTAACGTGTTAAAAATATAAACAATTTTGAATATGCTCAACTATAATTTTTGAAGTAGGAAATTCACCAGTATTTCTTAATTAATTAAACGCAATATACATATAAGTCCAAATAAATAATGACCATGGTTAAAATGTACATAATTAGCAAAAATTATTGCCACAGTGGCAATACAGATTTCCACAAATATAGCAATCATTTCCTCTTATTACGCAGGCCAGGGCGCATTCAAATTCCGTGTACCCCCCGCAACTCGAGGGCCGGGGGACGTAGTAGTAATAAGTGGCACGCTTCTGGATTCCGTGGTCACTTTGTCCCTCATCCTCTGCTGCCGTGAGGGTCAAATCCGACTTAATTCTGGGATCTCCAAACGGATAAAGGGACGCTTTCGCAGGCGTTACTGGCTGAGTGGAACCTCCCACAAAAATTTGTCCGTGGTACGATAGCGTCTGGAAATTTGAAATTTTAAGATTAATGTCGTTTATTTTTATAAACGTTTTCTTTCTTATAATTTCGACTGGTTTTTAGTAGCAAAAATTTTTTTCAGAGGTTCAAATTTGTCCTTCATATTTAACACCGAGCTATTACACACACGATATTATGTACTTATCAATACGACTTTGGTAGAGTCATATATTACGCCTTGGTATTATTTTAATACCGAATTTGTAGTATGTACCGCCTTAAAAGTTTCGTTTCTCTGTACGATATTAAATTACATAATAATATTTAGGAATTTGAAATTCATGGAAAAAATTTCTAATTTGCCAAATTTTAAGAAAAATAAGCGTATCCAAAATATGTACACATACCACTTCGAAGCAGATGAGAAGAAGGAGGAATTTTGAGTACATATTTTATTTATTACAATATCGATAAAATATCTAAATTTTTGACAGGAATTAAATAATGATAATAAGTTTGGGTTATGTAAATATGTGTGTTGTTAGTCGATATTAAATACTTACATGTGCTGAATTTTGTTCAATGACGGCATATTTATATGCCAGATGTTTGTACTTAATTAACGTTAATTAACGTTTCACCGAACGCTACAGACTTGGCAAACGTTTGTCTTCCATTGAATCGTGTTTGAATAATATTGATTGAATGCTTAATACGTTTCGACTTCCGATCAATGATCCTGAAGACGACTTGACACTTAAGACGTGTACGTAAATTAAAATGCTTAAAATGGAGGTCTCCCAACGTATGCTCTCAGATTTGGACCAAACTAGCGTCGATCGATCAAAATATAATCAGTGTGAAATTTGCGAATGGCACTATCTGCCAATGCTTAAGTTTAGCGGAGATATTTGCATAGAAAGAGGCGAAAATGCACCCCAAGGTCGGCAAATTTTTCGTTTTCCAAATTTGCTGCGCAATTTTCCAGCTTTGGATGCAAATATCTCCGCCAAATCTGCGCATTGGCAAATAATTCCATTTGCAAATTTCACACTGATTATATTTGTGATCGATTGACGCCAGTTTGGTCCAAATTTGTGAGCATACGTTGGGAGACCTCCATTGTTAGTGACTTATGTAAATTGGGAGTGGGCACTGTGGAATTTGTTGACATCATTAATTAACGCGTACATATTTGCATACGTACATATTTCTGGCTACACATGTAACTTCATGAACTTTCATTGTTTGCTGCTATTCTGATAATCGTATAATGATGACAAAATGACATCTTTTTCCCATGCGGGTTGACCATTCGGCATACATATGTACATGAGTTTTTATGAGAATTGATGCTTTTGTCGGGATGAGAAGTGATCTCATCCGGTTACACACATTGTACATATGTAAATATTGTTACCCTGTACATATGCATGTAGGAAAGTTCTGAGTTGATTTGCAGTTTTTTAAATAATGCCATAATTAGGAGAAAAAATAATGGGGGTATTCACTTCAACTGCTTATAAATCTTCGCAACTTTACGAAAAGTTGTATTTTTTTTACAAAATATGCGCAGAAAATTGGCATTTATTCCGTCCTTAGCAAATATGTCACCTTTATTTTTTTTCTCCTCTCGTTTTCATTTTCCATAAATGCATTTTCATGTAAAATGATTCGTTCAGTACGACACCGATTTCGTAAATTTGCGAAGTCAGTTTTGAGTGACGTGAATACCGACCCACAATATTTTTAGAAATTTACTTCGTCACTAATTTAGACAGTGATTGCATACATATTTAATGGCGTAAAATTCCCAAAAAAGTTTTTATGAAAATGTCACATAAATACGCACGAATCTCATCTTACACCAACACGTGCGAAGTGGAGCCAGCTGCTTTTCGGTTTATTTTATTCACATTCTTGTTTACTTTCACTATGTAAGTTTGAAGTTTCAAATTGTCGATTAATTAAACATGAAGAGACATTTAGCCTACAATTTAGTAATTGTAATGTTCCCACCGTTTAAATAATCATGACCACAATAACCACTCTTCTGTGTGGTAATTGCTGCTCCGTTAACACCGCTGGAAATTTAGTGTCGTCAATTTTACTGCAAAATCAGTATGGTGAGAGATTTTTTAATTAAGATTTGATCCTATACATAATTTGTTTGCGTGAAGGGAGTAAATTCTAAAATTTATACGAAATAATGAGGTCCTTTTGACAATCATTGCATTGGTAACTTTGTAAAATCTGCAAATTTTGTAACATAATTTTACAAAATTTTACAAATTACAAGGGACGCCCTTGATCTGAGCAAGCTTCCAACAATTTGTGAGCTAACTTTAGAAATATTTTGTACATTTACGGAATTTAAAAAGTTACCAACGACTGCGTGAATAATTGCCTCAACAACTTATCTTAATTGTGTTTCCTTTTATCAGAAATCGATGGAGCGACGACGACGATTTCCATTTCAAAAGGACTCTCCTCTCTATTTTATTACTGGATGGGTGTCCCTACAGAAGATAAGCTTGACCCCGACGGTGACCTCCTCCACTTTTGTCCCGATTGCGCCCACATATTTCGAGAATTACACAAAATTTCGGTCCAGTTTCTAAAATTGAGTGGGACCGAAAGCCAGGTCGCTAAAAGATTGGCGGAGTTGAGAAAAGCGCATGGAATTATTTCATCATCGCCTCCCCCCACTTTTAATAAAAGACAAGACAAAGAGGTCACGCAAGGTCAAAAGCTTGACCTGAGAAATTATCAAATTGACCCTATCGAGGAAAATATAGAAATCAAAAAAGACCCTGAGGATGAGCTTGACCTCGCCGTTCTAATCAAGGAGGAGGAGGACATCGCCGAGCTATACGATGACCACGTTTCTACCGGAACATATAATCCACTAGGTTTCGGTAAATTCAATTTACAAAATATGTATCTAATACATTAATTAATGTGGCATTTAAAACTTTTCTATTTAATTAATTAAATACAACTTATAATTAAAAATGTACATAGAAGATGATGGTATAAGCGAAACTCATGGTTATGGAGAGATCCAACTCAAGACTGACGGGGAGGATGAGGGTAATTATTAATACTGATTAGTAAAAAGTAGTCGGAAAAATTTTGAAAATGTCAAATTTACAAGCGTAATTCAGACACAAATTTCAAATTTACTCAAAAGATTCAGAAGATTTTCATCTTTTATTTTTAAAATAGCTGAAGACTCCGAAGCGGACGAATTTGCAATTGATCCTCTCAAATTGTCGGACGAAGAATCCTCCAATTATTCGCCATCCTCTGGTGACGAAGATGACAACGATTCAGAACCCGACAACACCGAACCCGATAATACCAAATCCGACAATACCGAATCCGCTAAATCCAATCGACTCGGGTGTTCCGAATGTTTTAAAACGTTTGCCTCCGTGGAAACAAGAGATCGCCATTTTAAACAGCAACACGACGAAAAATTTACACCTTTACCCTGTCCGGCTGATACATGTATGTAACCTCACATCACATTTATACCTGTTCACTAGTGTTCACGTTCATTTATTCAAACAGAAACAATAATTATTCATTCATTATTCAAAAACTTAATGAAGGAATAATTTTTTCAAACTTTTTGAACGAATGAATATTTATTCATTTAATATTCATGAATCAATGAATGAATAATTTTTCCATTTCATATTCATGAATAATAATGAATAATTTTATTCATTTCATGAATTCATGATATGAAATTCATATTCAATTCATGAATAATGAATGAATAATTTTATTCATTTTTCACACTATACTCAATACATTGAGAAATCCATCTAATAAGGATAAATCCATCGAATTTGAGATTAAAAATGAATGAAACTGAATAGTGATTAGTGAATAACTTTTTCGAATTTTGAATGAAGAACTATTTTTTGCACAGGTGACCTCACCTTTAAGCGGTGGGACCAATTAAGGACTCACATAACGAATTACCACCCCGGCGTCCCCTGCCCCCCTGTCCGAACGAGAAAAGTTTACAAGACGAAGAAGCTGGACGAAGGCGGGATCCCCTGTCAGGTCGCCACATGCGACAAGAAGTACTCCTCCAACTGCTTCATGTATCACCACATGCGCACCGTCCATCCCGAAGTCCCCCCCAAAATGCAGAGGAATGCGAAGGGGTCGCAGGAAGCCAAGGAGGCCAAGCTGAAAGCCAAAACGACCCGCAAAACTAAGATTAAGAAACCCTGTCCCGTTTGTGGAAAACAGTTCAATTCGAATTTTTTGAATACGCATATTAGAACACATTCGGATGAGGTATTTATATATTTCTTAAAAAATCATAATTCTATGAAAATATTTCACCCTTGCAAATTTTTAATCATTTCTCGGATGTGGGAAATTATTTTAAAACTCGGAGAACAAATTTCTAGAGCCAATTTCTTAGAAAAATATACACTCCAGATTTTGAGAGTTTTTGAATGAGGAAATCTCAAGCTTAAGAAATCTTCAGAAATATTCGAATTTGCTTATATTAATTTTAAAATTCACGGTCAGTTTATTAATCAATTGATTGACGACAAATTTCTTGTCCAGAATTTTGAAAATAAATTCCCACAGCCGAGGGATGGTCACGAATGTTCGGATTTTTATGATTTTGGCGATTAATCATCAAGTCCTACATTAATACAGATACATATTTCTGAAGAATTTCTAAAAATTCCCCAAATTTTCTCCCCCTTTAGCGAAAACACTTATGCACCACGTGCGGGAAACTGTTCCGGACCTCGCGCTACCTCTCGCTTCACATCCAACATGTCCACATCCGAGAGAAGAAGTATCACTGCGACGACTGCGGGAAGGATTTTGCCCGCAACTACGAGTTCAAAGACCACGTGAAACGACTCCATGGGAATTTGGAGAAATCCGAGATTTGCGAAACGTGCGGAAAAACGTTTCGCCATCAACCCGGCTTGAGACAACATCGGCAAACCCATTATCACAAGGATGCCTTCGAGTGTCCCATTTGTCCCAAAACGTCCAACTCCAAAGCGAACATTGCGTCGCACGTGCGATGGGTGCACGAAGGCCGGAAGAGAGAGACGCATAAGAAGAAGAAGGAAAGAGGTCGCGTCGGGAGGCCGCCGGATGATGAGAGGAGGATCGCAAATTATGCGAGGGGGGATGCGGGGGACAGTCAAAATAGTTCCGAGCAGGGTTATCCAGCATTGTCTAATGCGTCCTCGTCTTCTTTGAACTGACAGCAAGACAGGAGGAAATTGTCCCCCCCAGAAATGACAAATCGTAATCCTAAGAAGTCCCACAATGCTAATATGTTTCCCCAATTTCCGCTCAGGAGACCTTTTGTGTATAAATGGGAATATTAAAATGGCTAAAAAATTTGTAATTCTTCACCGAAATATGTACGAGTCGCTATTTTAAAGCAGTGTTAAAAATAATGTTACCCTTGCGTGGGTGCGAAAAACCCTGCAAACGCGCGAACGCGTTCGCCGGGACAGACGGGGGGCAGGACCTTTTTTTTTTTAGGGACCTTTTCCCATAAGGCCCATGTTAAAATTTCCGGGATTCTGTCCCCCCGTTTGCCGGGATGAAACCGGAAATCGCACCCACGTACCCTTGTGAAAAATAAAGACACCGTGGCGTAAATAAGTACTCTACTTATAGCCGGTCTCCAAACATAGCCCGGTCTAGAGACCAAGATTTTCAAATTTTTCAAATTTCATAATTGCGAAAAAAAATAAAAGGAAAGGGTATTCGTAAATCTTTGATAAAATTATTGCGACGCAATAACCATACATTGGTATATTTTTTTTACGAAATATGCCAAGAAAAATGACATCTAAATATTTTCATCGTAAACTATTTTCCGCAAACTGGTAAATTTTCATTTCGCCTCTCATTTTTAGTTTCATGCATAATTTAATTTCAAATGAGTCGTTATCTGGACGATTTCGCATACATGGCAAAGTTTCCAGGCGACATTTTTGAGTGACTTGAATACCCACAATATTTTTTAAAATTTATTAATTTTTAGGATATTTACATTATTCGGTAAAATAATCGATGCAAAAGTTTCTTATGAAAATGTGCATGCATACACGCGTATGAATCTCATCTTGGCCCAACAGCGTGCGAAGTTGGGTCAGCTGTTTTTCGGTTTATTTATTCACGTCTTGTTTACTTTCACAAATTGTGAATTAATTTAGAACAAATGACGATTAATTAAATAAGACGAGACATTTAGCCTACAATTTATTAAGTGTAATGTTTCCACCGTTTAAACAATTATGACGTCAGTAAACACTCTTTTGTGTGGTAATTGCTGCTCGGTAAACACCCCTGGAAATTTGGTGTCATCAATTTTACTGCAAAATGAGTATGGTGAGTGAGTTTTTAATAAATTCTTACAATTTCGAAACAATTCTGTTCTTGGTAACATTGTAATTTACGAAAATTGTAAAATCCATAAACTTACAACTTTTTACAAACGTTTCGAGGGAAAATTAGGTTACAGATTTATTTTTGCAAACTTCCTCATCGTCAGATCAAGTGCGTCTCCTTAATTTGTAATCAAGGCTTCTGTATGCAGTCTTTCTGAGCTGCAGTTTTCGTCACGTGACTGCCCGAAGTGCACCCGAGTCATAGCTCGGGTGCAACTCGGGTGCGCCACCACCGCACGAAACCCGTTCCTATTGGTGCTAGTCGGATCACGTGACGAAAACTGCAGCTCAGAAAGACTGCACACAGAAGCCTTGTTTGTAATGTAAACGTTTGCACAATTATGTATCGTACAGAATTGACGGATTTTACAAGTTTTGCGTAAATTACCTCAATATTATTTTTTAATTGTTTAGAAGTCGATGGAGCGACGACGACAACGATTTCCATTTCAAATGGACTTTCCTTCCTATTTTCGTACTGGGTGGGTGTATCAGTGGACGATAAGGCCACTGACCTCCACTTTTGTCCCGAATGCGCCCACATATTTCGAGAACTGCACAGAATTTCGGTCCAGTTTCTAAAATTGAGTGGGACAGAGACCCAGGTCGCGAAAAGGTTGGCGGAGCTGAGGAAGGCTCATAAAATTAGGTCATCCCCCACTTATACCAAAGCACATGCGAAGAAAAAGGTCACGCGAGGTCAACGACTTGACCTGAGATATCATCCAACGAATCCAACCGACGCCAACGAGGAAAATATACAAATAAAAAAAGACCCTGACGATAACCTTGACCTTCTTATCAAGGAGGAGGAAGACGATTTGATCCACCACTACCCGGAAGATCCACCAGATTTTGGTAAATGAAAGTCACGAAAAATATATGTAGTACATTAATTAATAACATTACATATTTAATTGCTGGTAAAACTTTTGTATTTATTTAAGAATTCAATACACGTTCTAAATACTTCTATTTAATAATGTAGATGATGATGGTGCAAGCGAAACGCATGCTTATGGAGAGATCCATGTCAAGACTGAGGACGACGGTAATAATCAGAGACTGGTCAATCCCGGATTAAGGACTGGGGATTAATTAATCCTCAATCTTTAATCCCAAGTTTTAGAATTTTAATCCCTAATCCCCAATCACACTATGTCAACGTGGGATTAGAATGGGATTAAAATGGGATTAAATTTCCAATGACTGAAAACTCGAAAAGCTCACTTCTCTTAAGATCGCTCCCTTTTCGAAAATTGATTGCATTTCGTTCATTTTTATCACATATTTAAAAATACTGCACAACATTTTGCAAAACTACTCGCAACGTGGTATCCTCAATGTACAATGTTCAACATTGGTGTGAGCTTATAAAGAAATGTGAGTGCTCTGCCTAGGAGTGGCAATCCGTCGGATCGGATCGGATTATGACGCCTTCGGATTGATCCGGTTCGGATTAAGCAGGTGTTCGGATCAATCCGATTCGGATTAAACACTCAATCCGATCCGACTCGGATTGATCCGTCGGATTTCGGATCGGATCGGATTGTAATCCGATAATTTGACAAAATATAAGAATTTTTCGGGTAACTTGATTCGTCATTTAACTCACAATGCGATGGTGTGAAGTGTAACCCTCCAATTTGGTTGAAATTTCGAAATTAAAGTGGTCCATGCCAATACAACCAACGTTTCTTCAGGTAGTTTGTGCGATGGTCAAAATTTTGAAAAATATTTGTGGTTAAAGTTGAAAAATGTGCGATTTTAAGCAGTGGAAGAGAACGGAAGGTGAGTTTGCGTCCTACGCCTGGTGAAAATCGCCCGTTTTTGAACTTTGACCTAAGATATTTTGCCAAATTCTGACCATCGCACAAGCTGGCTGAAGAAACGTTGGTTGTATTGACATGGACCATATAATTTCGAAATTTCAACCAAATCGGAGAGTTACACTTCACACCATCGCATTGTCAGTACCGGGTACCCGCCCAGGTAATTCATACTTTTAAGCAATTCATGAATCATATTGGAACATTGAATTGGAACTTATCAACTTTCCTCAACCAGCTCGGCACGAAATTTGTTATTGACGTTACTGTCTATAATATAAAGTAACAAAAAAATAATACCGACCATGATTTGCTACAATTGAACGATTTATGAGCATAATTTGATTATTTAGTGATATTCTAAAATAACATTAAACAATTAATTCATTTAAAAAAAGACCCTATCAAAAGCTTTTAAAGTTAATCCATTTAGGATTTTGTGCGTCTTTCAATATTCAGAAATACCCTGAAAATTTCTGTTCTTTATCTTAATAAGCAATAAATTGTAGATGAGTTAGAAAAATGATTTCAGAAAAGCAATTTTAAGCAAACATGTTTAATTTCTGCAACCTGGTTAAAATTCGAAAAATTAGCGTTTTAAAAAATTCCGACTTCGGCTGAATCTTTCAGCCGAAATAAGAATTTTCTAGGCTGAATGATTATTTAAAAATTCTGCGATGGGTAAAACATGCGTATGCAAGATATTATTCTTATTATTGTGGATTCTATAACTAAACCGGATAGATTTGATTTTTAATTTCAACCCACCACAATTGGTAATCATGGGTACTTGATTTTGGAGTGTAGAAAATCCATCCCGTTTACATCTAGAAATCACAGTATCGAATTAAGAACCAGTGAAGTGAGACCCAGTTTATACGCAGTGCTAGTGTGTACATTTTGGGAGAATGTGAAATAAATTCGCCAATCCGAAATCAGATCCGAGATCCGATGACCAGTTTCGGATTGATCCGATCGGATTAAGCAGTCAATCCGATCCGACCGGATTAGGATCGGATCAGGGAAAAATACAATCCGATCCGATCCTAATCCGCGGATTTCGGATCGGATTGCCACTCCTAGCTCTGCCCAAATTCTGGTCAACCCGTTAGGTTATAGTACTAAAACTAAAATTAGCCTTCTTGCCTGTATATAATTTTTAGTACGAAAATATTTAATTGCTATTTAAAACTTCTATTCCTAAACGATCTAATTTTGCATGGGAAACGTTCGAAATATTTCTTGCTTCCAAGTTCAGATTCATTTAAATTAATTCAAAAATCTGGCATAACGAAATTTAATCCAGGACAAAATTAATTCCCAATCCAAGAAAACCAAATTTAATCCCGTGTTAATCCTAATCCCAGATTAAATTTAATCCCTAATCCCAATCCTTAATTCCAAAATTTGGAAAATTAATCCTTAATCCTTAATCTCAATCCCAAGATTTAAAATTTAATCCTCAATCTCAATCCTTAATCCCGATATATTTAATCCGCCAGTCTCTGGTAATAATTAATTACATATTTAGTGATAATATATTTAGGTACATTTATGACAGTAATTAAGAAAAAGCACAGGCTTCGTAACTTTGTAATTTATTCGAAAATGTTTTCCGGACATTGTAACCATTTCAATTTTTCCAAAAAGGTTGAGCACACTCTTATCTAATCTTGCTCTTTTGAAAAGTATTTAAATGCACGCTAAACTATACTAAATCCAGAATACCGTCAACTTGATAAAGACTAAATTTTACTCTGGATTTGTTAGTACTTCATTTTGTATTTATGTGGAGTGCATTTACTTTTCAAAAGGGGGACATTATTTTTAAGAGTGCAAGCAAATTTTCATTTTTTTATAGATGAAGCCTCCGAAGTTGATGACTTTGCAATTGACCCTCTCAAATTCTCGGGGGATGAATCGTCCTCTGGTGACGACGACAACGATTCCGAACCCGACAACGCAGAACCTGACACTGCACCCGCCACACCAAATCCTCTCCAGTGCTCCGTCTGTTTTAAAACGTTTTCCTCCCAGGAAACAAGAGATCGCCATTTTCGACACCAACACGACGAAAGCTTTACCCCTTTACCGTGTCCGGCCGATAATTGTACGTAACCTCACATTTCGACCTGATAATTATTAATTCTTGAACGAATAAATATTGCATAAATATTTATTCATTCATATTCATGAATAATTTTATACATTTTTCATGGTATCTTCTATATTATAAGCTGGAAATGTTTGTCTGCAACGGAAGTGAAAGTAATTTTCCTTAACGGAAGTGAAAGTTTAGAAAGTTTCATTTCCCTGCCAACAGACACTTCCAGCTAATAATATAGATCAAACAAAAAAATAATTCGGTGAAATTATGAACAATCCTACTTAATTTTCACTAAAATCAAATAAGCCCGTCGCCCGACGGGAGACGGGCTTATACGCTAGTGCTTAATACAAGAGTATCTATCAATCTACATAATAAGACGAATTTCAAGGCAAATGAGGAAATAAAAATTGAATATTTATGTTCAAAACTTTTAGTAAATGAATATTCGTTTACAATTTTTAGCTTGAATGACTTTTGAATTAAAAAACTCATTTTGCACAGGTGACCTCACATTTAAGCGGGGGGAGCACTTAAGGACTCACTTAACGAATTACCACCCAGGCATGCCCTGTCCACCCGTAAAAGGGAGACCGGCCTGCAAGTGGACGGAGGGCGCCTCGTCAAGCAAAGTGCCCTGCAGGGTCGCCGAAGTCCCCCTGAAAATGCAGAGGAATGCGAAAGGATCCCAGGAAGCCAAGGCTAAAAGTGAATCTACCCGCGTCAGGATTAAGAAACCCTGTCCCATTTGTGGGAAACAGTTCAACTCGAATTTTTTGAATACACATATTAGAACACATTCGGACGAGGTAAATCAACATTTCCTAAAAATTTCAAAATTTGTTAAACGACCTACACCTAACAAAAGAATTGCACCCAAAATCACCACATTTTTAATCATTTCTCCATTGGTGAGGATAAGTTTGCGAAATAGATAATTTTGCAAAATAAGAATGTTCCCATTTATTTGCTAAGCAAAAAATCTCATGGATTTCTGTTAAAATTTTTACCAAATTTCGCAAGAAATACTGCTACGCTCAATTTACAAGGCTGACATGAATACGCTCAATCTTTCTAAACAATTTCAAATAATTTTCCCTCCTCTAGCGAAAACACCTGTGCACCACGTGCGGGAAACTGTTCCGGACCTCGCGCTACCTCTCGCTTCACATCCAACATGTCCACATCCGAGAGAAGAAGTATCACTGCGACACCTGCGGGAAGGGGTTTGTCCGCAACTACGAGTTCAAAGACCACGTCAAGCGACTTCACGGGAATTTGGAGAAATCCTTGGTTTGCGAAACGTGCGGAAAAACGTTCCGTACGCTGGCCGGCTTGAGACAACATCGCCAAATCCATTACGACAAGGATACCTTCGAGTGTCCCATTTGCCACGAATTTACCTCAAACTCGAAGGCCAACATTTCGGCGCATGTGCGACGGGTGCACGAAGGCCGGAAGAAGGCGAAAAGATCTGGTCGCGGGAGGCCGCCGGATGATGAGAGGAGGGTCGCAAATAGTGGGAGGGGGGATGAAGGGGGAAGTCAAAATAGTTCCGAGCAGGGTTATCCAGCATCCTCCTCCTCTTTGATATGAACTGTGCATATGTATATTTACAGCTCAGTTTGTTGATAAACCAACGCAGTAAAATGTATAAAATCTGTAATTCTTCACCGGAATGTGAGTCACTATATTAAAGTACTCTTAAAAATGATGTTACCCTTTGTTTAAAAAATAAAGAAATACTATAGCCCGTCTACAAACAGCGGGGTCTGTAGAGACCAAGATTTCATACTTTATCTAATTCGTGATTGTGAGAAAAAAATGGGGGTATTCACGTCAGTCGGCTTCGTAAGAGTTGACATGCAGAGATTGCCTATATTTGCTTATGAAATTACGCGTAGAAAAATGACATGTGGTTAGATCGTAAATTATTTTTCGTAAACTCTTCGTCAAGTGAATTTTCATTCTCGTCTCATTTTAAGTTTTAAACTCATTTTAAACTCATTTGAACTGAAAATACATGATATGTATTTTCAGTTCAAATGAGTCGTTAACGACACGATTGCGCAAACATTGTAAAGTTTCGGGGGGTCATTTTGGAGTGGTGTGAATTTCTGCAATATTTATACAAATTCATTTTCTTACTAGTTTTGAGGATTTCGATTGCATATTATGCAGTAGAGTTGAGAAATTTGCATGAGAAGTAAATACTTTAGTTGATCTGTGCTATTTGGCCCTCGTTGATCTGTATTTTTTTTAAAGTCATAATAACGAAAAAATATAGTACTTTTTTCAAATTTATCTCGATCGTAATTTTGGTAATGATTGTGTATTTAATTGGGTAACATCATCGCCTCAAAAGCATTAAAGTTTTCTTATGGAATTGTGCATCTGTATACGAATTTCACCTTACACCAGCACCGTGCGAAGTCTGGCCAGCTGCTTTTCGGTGTATTTTATTTATTCACTTTCACTATTTGTGAATTAATACGAAAAAATGAAAATTAATTAAATAAGCGTTAAACCTATAATTTATTAAGTGTCATGTTTCCACCCTTTAAACAATTATGACGACAACTACTACTCTGTCGTGTAGCAATTGCTTATCGGTTAACACTTCTGGAAATTTAGTTTCGTCAATTTTGTTGCAAAATGAAAATGGTGAGAGATTTTTAAATATATTGTTGATCTTAATTGACTCAGGAAGGGGGTAAAATTATTTTCCTACTTTATCATGAGGCAATTCTTCTATTATTTGTAACCTTGTAAAACTTTTAGAAACACTTCGAAATAAAATTAGGCTACAGATTTTTGCAAGATCAAGGGATCTAAATCTTTAGTTTATGCATAAACGTTTGCAAAATTATTGTAAAAAAATTACGGATTTTACAAGTTCTGCGTAAATAATCTTACTTAATTTTATTTATTTTGCCTTATCAGAACTCGTTGGAGGTACGACGACGATTTCCATTGCGAGCGGACTTTCCTCCCTATTTTCTTACTGGGTGGGTGTACCCGCAGATGATAAGACGACTGACCCCCCCGTCCTCCAGTTTTGTCCCGAATGCGCCCACATATTTCGGGAACTTCATAAAATTTCGGTCCAGTTTTTAAAATTGAGTGGCACCGAGAGCCAGGTCGCTAAAAGGTTGGCGGAGTTGAGGCAAATACATGGAATTACTTCATCATCCCATCCCCACATTTTTAAAGGTCAGGTGAAGAAAGAGGTCACGCAAGGTCAAGGACGTGACCTGGGAAATCAGCAAATCGACCCCAACGTACAAATCAAAAAAGACCCTGAGGATGACCTTGACCTTGCCGTTCTTATCAAGGAGGAGGAAGAGGATTTGGTCCAGCAGTACCCGGACGATCCACTGCATTTTGGTAAATTAAATTCACGAAAAATATGTACCGAAAAATGTGAAAAATGTGAAAAATTATTTAATATATTATTACATTATTATTTAATTACTGGTAAAACTTTTGTTTTCATTTAGTATTCAATACACCTTCTAAATAAATATTTCTATTTAACAATATAGACGATGATAGTGTAAACGAAAGGCGTGCTTATGGAGAGATCCGTCTCAAAACTGAGGACGACGGTAATTATTTAATACTTATGTATGTATATGACAGTAACTATGAAAAAAGCACAGGTGTACACAAATTTTTGTAATTTCTTTGAAAATTGTATCCGGATTTTGTAACCATTACGATGTTTGCAAAGAGATTTAACACTCTCATAAAATAATCTTGGTTTTTTGAAAAGTAGTTAAATGCACGCTGAATATTAGTAAACTATACTAAATCCAGAGTAACGTTTACTCGGAATTTAGTGCAGTTTATCTACTTAATTTCGTATTCAGAGTGTGTTTACTTTTGAAAAGTGTGACATTATTTTTAAGAGGGCAAGCAACTCGTCATATATTATTTTTTAAATAGCTGGGGACTCCGAGGCTGACGACTTTGCAATTGACCCTCTTAAATTGTCGGGAGATGAATCATCGAATTATTCGGCATCCTCTGGTGACCAAGACAACAACGATTCAGAACCCGACAACGCCGAACCTGACACTGCACCTGCCACACCAAATCCTCTCCAGTGTTCCGTCTGCTTTAAAACGTTTGCCTCCCAGGAAACAAGAGATCGCCATTTTCGACACCAACACGACGAAAGCTTTACCCCTTTACCCTGTCCGGCTGATAATTGTACGTAACCTCACATTTCGACCTGATAATTATTCATTCATTACTTCATAAATTTGTGAAAAATGAGTGAATAATTTTTTTAGAATTTTTTAACGAATAAATATTGAATAAATATTTATTCTTTTCATATTCATGAACGATTTTATTCATTTTTTACGCTATGGTTAATCCAGAAGGAATCCATCTAATAAGGCGAATTTCAGATGAAATGAGTAAAAACAATGAATGAATGAATGAGGGATTTCACGTTAAGTTTTTATTTTAACTATGTACAGAAATGTATTTAGTTTAAAATTTTGAAAAAAAAATTAATAATGAATGGATATTTTGTTTTTCAATTTATAACTTGAATGAATTTTGAATGAAAAAGGACCTTCTTTTGCACAGGTGACCTCACATTTAAACGGGGGGAGCACTTAAGGACCCACATAGTAAATCACCATCCCGACGTACCCTGCCCACCCGTCAAAGGGAGACTAGCCTACAAGTCGAAGGGGGCCGCCTCGTCAAGCAAGGTGCCCTGCAGGGTCGCCACCTGTCACAAAAAGTACTCCTCCTCCAACAACATGTACCACCACATGCGCACCGCCCATCCCGAAGTCCCCCTGAAAATGCAGAGAAATGCGAAAGGGTCCCAGGAAGCCAAGGATGCCAATATTAAAAGTGAATTAAACCGCGTCAAGGTTAAGAAAGCCTGTCCCATTTGTAGGAAACTGTACAATTCGAACATTTTGAATACACATATTATGTAGAACACACTCGGACGAGGTAAATATAATCAATATTTCATAAAGTTTTGAAAATATTTCGCTCTTGAAAATAATTTCACCATTTTGAAAACACAGAATATTAGGAAGGGACTCGATCAGCACATTTTTAATTATTTCTCGACTCTGGGAATTTATTTTAAAATTCTCGACGGCAAATTTGTAGCTCGTTTCCATTTTTTTTAATTCAAGATTTTGACAGGTTTTGTAGGAGCAGATCTCAAGTTTAAGGAACCCTTCAAAAAATGGAGCTTATCGAACCTAGTTCAAAAAATTCTATTACTTTGGTACAAATTCGTCGTCCAGAATTTTAAAATAAATTCGCAGAGAAATTATTAAAAATGTGATGATTTTAACGATACGTCATCAAGCTTTACATTAATATGTCTCATAAATTTCTAAAAAATGTCCCCATACTTTTTCCCCCTTAGCGAACACACCTCTGCAACACGTGTGGAAAGCTGTTCCTTACCTCGCGCTACCTCACCCTTCACATCCAACATGTCCACATTCGAGAGAAAAAGTATCACTGCGACGTCTGCGGGAAGGGTTTTGTCCGCAACTACGAGTGCAAATACCACGTCAAACGGGTCCACGGGGATGCTGAGAGAACCTTGGTTTGCGAAACGTGCGGAAAAACGTTTGGCCAACTGTCCGGGTTGAGGGCACATCGGAAAACGCATTACGACAAGGATGCCTTCGAGTGTCCCGTTTGCCACGAATTTACGTCAAACTCGAAGAACAACATTTCGGCGCATGTGCGACGGGTGCACGAAGGCAGGAAGAAGGCTGAAAGAAGTGGTCGCGGGAGGCCGCCGGATGATGAGAGGAGGCTAGCAAATAATACGAGGGGGGAGGAAGGGGCAAGTCAAAGTAATAGTAATAGTGGGCAGGGGTAGGATTATTGACCGGTTGAGGTGCCGTATTTATGTCGCTTTAGAGACATTTTGTTTATAAATTGACCAATTAAATAGCAATTCCTCAAATACGAGTCAGATTACAGATTGTATTTACACAATAAGCAAATAACAATAAAATTGTTACTTCTAACTTAATGTTTCTTAAGCGCATTTGATATGTGAGGTGAGGTGCTACATAATTAGCGCATATATTTTAATGCATTAGGGAACGTCCATAAATTATGGGACACAAAACTTTTCCCACCCCCTTCGCCCTTCAGCCTTGACATGATTTATGGACTTCGCCTTATGCGGAACACGTGGAAAATATTTAAACTTTGGTAGACATTGAATCATTTATTTATTATCCTTTAACTAAACATTAATCTCAATATTGTACATTGTTTAATACTTTTGTAAATCATACTAACGAATAATACGGTATGTATTTATCGTACTTTCTAATAAATTCATTCACCAGATTTTTCACTGTTGCTGATATTTTTTGTACTGTGTTTAAACCTTTTGGAACATTTTTTCGTTATTACGAATTTGTTAGAGAGAGTATATATTAATACATAAGGGTGACGTGGTTCTTTTGTGAAGTTTGATTATTGATACATTAACTTCAGGAAGGAATTATTATTACTGTATGTATGTTAAAGGATTTCAAATTGATGGTTCATCCGGATTTTCATCTTGTCCTATTCCTGAAACAAATTAGAACCTCAATTTACTGAAGTAAATTACGAACTCTCTTAAAAATATGTTACCCTTCTGAACAGCAAATAAATGCCCTCTGACTTCTAAATTAAGTAAACTATACTAAATCCAGAGTAACGCTAACTTTATAAAGAGTAAAGTTAGCTCTCAATTTGGCATAGTTTACTTATTTAATATGGAACTCAAACTGCATTTACGGTTCAATAGGGTTACATTATTTTTAAGCGTGTGTGAATGTACAAATGCCGATGAAATTTGTACTTACCGCTCCTCCAAAAAGGCCGCCATATCGTTCAATAAGTATACCCATTTCGACCTCAATTCTGGATCTCCTTCGCACGGGGGCGAAATCGACCAGAGGCGAACGGCTGCCATGTAAACGTCCAACTCGTTACTGGATGACATCTTATCACAAAAATTATGATAATATAATTTATGTAGAAAATGCGACAAAATGTAGTTATGTAAGCTAAATACTCACATTTTTAGAAACCTGGGTCAATTTAGTATCCAAAGTTTCCAACAAGTTGGATAAAAATTTGGTAAAATGAGGCCCCTCCGGAACCCCGTCGGGTTTTTGTTTCTTGTTCCACTTCAAGGAAATGGCGGCATCGAAATGAACCTTTTTACTGGATTGGCCCAACGTGAGGGAAAAATTGTCTTTCAATATCCACCTGCGCTGATTTGCATCTGGAACAAAGTTAGGGATATTCCATTAAGTATTTGCATTTTCTCATCTCTCGTAATTGATTAATGCCATAATTTTCAACCCACAACGATTTATATTAATGAATGTTTTGGGTAATGGGCCCCCTGGTTTTGCCGCTGTTTCATTTCGTACCTAAGTTCTCATAGTGGCGGGCGAATTTCAAATTCAAACAGGGGGCCCATTACCCAAGAAACGCATAATAGTTTCACGATGTTCCCTACACTATTCACATGTTCAACATGTTCAACAAATTATTCACATTTCGTAAATAATTCGAAATGAAATATTTATTTTCTCATTGAAGAAAAAAGTCAAACCCTCATACATAACTTTGTAGACCTAAATATTATCCATTTCTAGGTGCATTCAAATCTGCATATCATAAAAAACGCTGGGAGATGAACAGGTCTCAAACTCCCCATTTGAACATATTGAAGTAGGGAAAGTTGAGACAAAACCATTCAAACTCAAAATCCGCATGCTATTGTACCTTAAGAAATTGGCTTGACATAGAATGGATACGGCCACTTTGATGGCTTAAAATTGGTTTTTGAATTCCAGCTAAATAATTTTACTTGACTACAAAAATAATTCTAAAATCCCGACAAAAAAAAGTTACCCTCTTTCCAGCACAGTAACAAATACAGCGCGACCATCAGGACGAGACAGATCAGCCCATTTATCGCCAAATAGAGGGGGAATCCCTTCCATAACATGTCCCCCTCCACGAGCGAGGACGTCGTCGCAATTTGCACCAATCTGATGACCACAACACTCGCTAAAAAGGCCACGGTTGCCAAGCCGGTGATTAGCTTTTTCCGCGAGGGTGCGACGCCATGACCACGTGGGTCCTCCCCCTTCACGTGGCACACGGGGTGGCTCAATTTTCGTAAAATGTTTATACTGTTCTTCCTCCCGGTTGTGACGGTTACGCTGATTTCCTCCATTTGTAAATAGAAATTTTTTATGATTTCAGAATTTTTCTTCGAAAATTATGTATTTGTTCGAAATTTTTTTTTCAAACTTATTGAGTTGTGATTTTTACAATTTAATCCATATCTTTGTGTTTGGTACGTAAGTTTTTGACGTATTTCCCGTTGGTGACAAACGTCTGCTTAATCAATAGACCACTATAGAACCTCCGCCGGTGACGATTTGTCTCCGAATTATTTAGAGTGTATTTGTAATATGAAAATACGAGTATGAAATTATTGTCTACTATTAAATATATCTGATTTTTTAAATTTTCCTGACTCTGATTGGGAATCCAGGTGTGATGTAGGTAGACTGATTACGTGATATGACTCGAGGCAGCTGATTATTCCCGAAAGGACGATAAATGATAGAAAGGGAAAGTGCGTCATATACGTAGCATAGATGTTTCAAAAGAGATGCCCAGGCTGCGTAAAGGGACCACTGTTTAATCAATAATTTTGGATCCGGGTAGCGAGCAAGTGAAGAGTTGAGAGAATTCATCTTCATGAAATGAAAAGAGGCACAGAGTTTCTCACTGTCATAAATATATATAGGGTACATATTTACATACAAGCACTTACATTTATTATATGTACATACTTGTGTATGAGCATAAATACAGATATACATATTTATCACACATGCACAAATAGCAACGTGTTATAATAAATTCAACATGTCACTGGTGTACATATGTATACATTACAAATACATACATAGATATATGTAATTATGTATACCCTTTGCATATTAATTTACGTACATTGATTTAGTTAAACCTCTGATATTTTCATGTCGTATGTATACATACATACATGTATTCTGCATGCAACATATTTATACAAACATACATACGTATAGGCTGTGTCGATTGGAATTGAGAAACGGAAATGTGTCATCTAATTTTTTAATTTATTCAATCGTATTCGTATCATTTCTTAACAGTAATATTGATTTTCTAATTTTGATAAGTCATTCATACACATTCGGAAAAAGTTATATATACATAAATACATATTGTGATTATGTAATTTACTAAATTTAAACCAAGTTTGTCACTTGGCTCAAGAAACTTATATATGTATGCATTAGTTCAACTTTTTATTCACTCAGCCACCCACTTTTTACCGTGTTCCTTAAGGGGAAGACTGTCCCAAAATTTCCAGCTATTTTCAAAAACTTGATTAACCTCGAGCATTACTGGATCCTCGTTAATTTGCAAGTATTCTTGTCGCATGTTGGGTTTCAGTGGGGTCCACTCGGTCCCCTTGTCGCCCCATAATTTTCTAGGTTTCCTAAAAAAATAAGGATTTAGTCATGTTCGAAAATGGATAATCATCAACAAATTCTGTACCCATTAAGAGCAAATGAGGTCCAAAGTGAGACGAAATTTTTGGAAAACTCAAAAGTTTCATTATCCTTGGTAATCTTGGGGAAAAATTTGTCGAGTGGTGGTCTCATTTCGAAAAGGTACGCAAGCTCGTCTGCATGGGCGGGAGGTCGTTCACCAGCCGGTTTTGGGGGTTGATTGTCCCCTAAAATTTTGAAGGTTTTAGATGTGAGTGCCATATTCTTGTAAATTTAACGTAGCACTATATGACTCATCGTTAAATTTTCCACCCCTTTAATCTTTTCTCGGCTCTGGGAGTTTCTTTAAACGTTCTCGACAACATATTTGCATACCCGGTTCGTTCGTCGTTAAATAAAAAAAAATATGCACAGTTTTCTCAGGAGATCTCAAGTTTGAGAAGCATTAGGAAATTTGGAACTCATCGAAAATAACTTATCTTAATTAAAACTCAGAAACATTCTACCAATGAACTTACTGACTGCAAATGTACTTTACAGAATTTTAAGATAAATTCCCACGGTGATAAATGATTCAACATGTATTAATTTTTACAATTTTTGTTACCCGTCAAACTTTGCGAAAAAAATTGAAATTTCTGCGTGATAACAATCCACCCCAAATTTGAACATATACAGCGGAACTGTGTGTACTAGTTACATAGCTCATTTGAAAATTTTTACTTATTCGCGAAAGCTCAATTTGGATGGAAAACCTAACCCCGTAACGCCGAAAATTGGCATAATGAGATTTATGCAGATGAGATGACCAGCACAAATAATTCCACTGTATGTACAGTACCTTCCAACGTTGTCACCGCGGTATCAATCGTGCCCACACTGGCGGGTTCGCTCTTCGTATAATTGAAGGCGTACACGGTCGTGTAATTTGCATAGGCCGCAGCAACCTTTCGTGTACAGTGTACTATTGATCTGTCACCGATTAAGCGTTCCAAATCGTCCCCACTGCTCGGAGTGAGTTCCGAACGGTTAAAGTAATACTGTCGAATTCGTTCCGTTACGAAGGAGGGGTCTTCCGCGGTGTCATGATAAAGCAGAGCGGACTGGATTATGCGACCAAATTGCGAATTTATCTTCTTAATTTTGTCAGCAGCAAGTACTGAAATTTTAGAAATTTAAGAATTTTCATTACATGTGTAATTTACATAAAATTGTAACACTTTGTATTATGCATAAATGACCGTCATGGGACTAAAAATTATTCGGAAACCTAGGTAGATTATGCATATTAAAGCAATTCGCAAATTTCTTATCTAGCAATTAACAACATGCCAAGGTTTTTCAAAGTTTATTATGCATCTAATTGCACAAAACCTTTTAAGAAAGGCGATGAGATTTATGTTGAAAAATTTACTTGACAAATTGGCACTGTTTCGATTATTTCGCCAACTACTTATTTCATAAATTTGAGATTATTTCGCCAACTATTTGCGAAAATTTGCAGGGGTCACCCAAATTAGGATGCATTGACATAACCACATACGCAGAATTTTATGTTATTATGTGACTTACATCTCTTCGAAATACCAAACACTTCACTAGCAACAAATCCAATAAGGATGGGAACCTTGTGGAAGTTTCCACTTGAAATTAAGCTGTAAGGGTCCTCTTTTAAAAATGTGGAGTTATCCTCGTCCCCAATCCCGGGATAAGTTTCGACCGTTGGACCCATATGAATCGCGCTGGAGTCCATTCCCTATCACAATTGCAAAAAAATCATAATTCATAGCATAAAAATTTGCATGTGCAAAAAAAATATTACTTACAAATTCATTGAAAAAAATGGACAGTGGAGCGAGCAATTCAGGTTTAACTTTTTGCAAACATTGGACCAAGTATTCGCCATGGCTGGAGGGGCAGTCGACCGCGACAGCTAATGTTTTCGCCTCTTTGATTCCATCACCTGCCCGCATGACGTAGGGACACGTGGCCGTCCCGCTTTGAAGTATGGCGCCATGAAAGAGCCCTAGAGAATTAGGGACGATTTTTTTATTTGCAAAAAAAATTAAGTCGATATTTTCAAAAAATACGAAGTTATGTTCATACCTTTCGCCATGGGCGATGCGGTCAACAAGGAGGCAGCAGCGCCACCTGAACTTTCACCGAATATGGTCACCCTTAATCCACGTAAAATCCAGGGCGAATTGATTTATGAGTGACCCCTTAATGATTAATTAAGTCGCATAAAAACTTACCTGTTCTTATCGCCGGAAAAGACCTCAATATTATTCTGTACCCATTTTAATGCGAGTACAATATCTTTCAAGCCTTGGTTTCCACGTGCCGATTTTACTCCGGCGTTCAAAAATCCTGTGAAAAATTTGAGAACTTTTTTAAGTTTAAACGGTCATTTTATTTGCTGTAAATGGCCGATACTTAACAAAATTTTCGGTAAATTTGTATACTGGTAACGTACCGAAAGCACCTAATCGAAAATTTACCGTGACCAGAATTACGAGCTGGTCCATGAAATATTTGCCACCGTAGTAGCTTCCCAACCCGTCCACAAAACCACCCCCAGTCAGCCATACCATGACTGGAAGTAAATCACTAGATCCGTTCAGGCTCCGGATCTGAAATTTAAAAATCTTATATGTATTGGAGTATTTTTTTAGTTTGAATATGATTTGCAAAGTTTTTAAAAGTTTTCAGAATTCAATCGGTGTTTTATTTCTGAATAAAATACGATACAATTTACCTTTGGTGTATACAAATCCAATGTTAGACAATCCTCAACTCCAGCAAATCCGGGAACCATCATGCTATACCGGGCACATCCGGGCCCTGAATCGGTCGCGTTCTTTATCCCAGTCCATAATTTTGCAGGTGTAGAAATCTAACACAAAATTTTCTCAAAAATTTCATAATTTCCGCTTTATTTAGAAAACGTCGTATTTACATACATAAGTCTTGGAAATCCAGTATTAAAATAGTACCAACCGGTATTCACATGCATTTGTACACACGCTTAACTCTACCCACGTGGTGTTGACACGTAATACCGTGTAGTACTTCAATTTTATCATATCGGTAGCAAATTTTTAAGGGACCGGTATTAATTTAATACCAGGAAGTAGCAATTTATTTAATACAAGGAATAAAGCGTGACTACATAGATCAGATTTCTAACAGTGTATGTATTTCCACATAAATAATTTAGTGTACTCACGTCAAAACGTTTTTCCACGTGGCCGTACGGAATTCCATAAAACTGTGCGTACCTAACGCCTACCCGATTTTCAGAAAATGATCCTATTAAACGACCCGATTCTATTTCCACTTCCGGATACGAAACAGTGTCATCACATCCCATACTTTTTATGAGACATAAAACCACCGCAAAAACTATGGAACGATACATTTTGCAAACTCATGCAATTCCACGCAATATTTAATGATCTTCTCCCACTTGGCTGCAAATCAAGACTGGTTTAATTGAGCGAATTGGCTTAACCAGTGTCAGATAAATACGTTAGCTTGCTGGTCAAGTTGATTGGGTACGTTGCCTCGTTGCTATCGTCATGCAATTGCAGTGGGAACAAAGTTAAGGACAACCTTGATAAATTATTCCACGATGTGTATTTAGTATGGACATGCAATATGAAATCTGCTGATTCACTCTGTGATACTGGAAATACACACGTATGTAAGCATGATCCAATAAATCATCCATGTATGCATGTAAGTCAGTGAAATTATTGCATGGCATATGGAATTAGCTAGAAGTTCTGCACTTATTTTTATTTATATATTTACATCTACATACCACTAAAATCTTAAGTTTGTACATATGTAAATACATACATATCTACATACATAGATAAATTGCAATGCAAATTTCGTATCAGAATTTATGCATATATTTATTTTTCAAGTTATGGGTAGATAGATTTCCAAGATAAATTTAACTTTATCCCAAACAAAAATAAAGATGCTAGCGAGTTTGTCAAAAATATCGCGATGGATAGAATAAAAAATAATTACAGCGAAAAGTCTGCATTTCATGACTTCAAACTTTGATATTTATAACTAAAAGTTTCAAAATACGAGCCTTCTCTTAATATGAATCAGCAGGAAAATTTTGTTTCCGTTAGCAAAATTTTGTACACGTTTCTTAATGTGTACTTATTTTTGGAATTTACATGCTCCTGAAAAATTGACATAAAAAATATTTAAAAAGTAAAGAATATCAACAAAATTTTGGCCCATTAGCTTAGATGAATTTTGATAAATACTGAAATATATATAAATAATTTTTTTAAATAATTTATAAAAAATTTTGGTGTTTTTGGTTGAAAAATTAGTCCAGCATACGTATTTGGATATCGAGGAGGCTTACATATTTTGCTGGATTACATCGCAAACTGAATATGTTCATATAGCTAATTGAGTTATGATATGAAAAAATACGTTGACGTGACCACCCCCAATACTATTTTCAATAACTTGTTTCATTTATTATTCGCATTCTCAACCATTATGCAGTTGCAAATTGTGTCAATCATTCTACTGCCCATTTTTTGCCATGCTCCTTGAGGGGAAGACTATCCCAAAATTTCCAGCTATTTTCAAAAACTTGATCAACATCGAGCATTTCTGGGTCCTCGTTAATTTGCAAGTATTCTTGTCGCATGTTAGGTTTTAGTGGGGTCCACTCGGTTTCCTTGACATCCCACAATTTTCCAGGTTTCCTAAGAACGAAGTAACGATTTTAATCTCCATCTTAATTAACGCCTTATTTATTAACCAATTTTATACCCATCACGGGCGAATGAGGTCCAAAGTGAGATGAAATTTTTGGAAAACTCAAAAACTTTACTGTCCTTGGTAATCTTTTGGAAAAACGTGTCCAGTGGTGGTCTCGGTTCGAAGAGGTACTGAAGCTCGTCCCCGTGTCCAGGAGGTCTGTCCCCGGTCAATTTTGGTGACAAATTTTCATCTAATAAAAATTAAAATAGTGACACAAGTCGATTCTAAAATTAGTCCTCCCAATCATCTCCTACGCATCAACCCTTCCCCTCATTTACTCCCCCATACATTTTCCTTTGCATGCTGTCTTCTCTCTGGTCTGCCTGTATCATTTCCTTCATTTCCCAATCACATTTCGCATGAATATAAAAGATTGCGGATTCGAAATCTCAGAAACTGTTAAACTCGAATTATTTTTAAATTTTGATTTTTTGGGGCAGGAAAATGTATACGGGTGTAAGTGAGTGGGAGGAAATGGTGGGGAGGACTTGAACTTATGTATGTATCCCCTCACGCTTGCATTTGAAATTTTGCATAAATAACGTTTCATATTTTCGTTTGTACCTTCCGACTTTGTAGCCGCCAAGCCCAACGTTCCCGCACTTAGGGGTTCAGTTTTCGTATAGTTGAAGGCGTACACGGTCGTGAAATTTGCATAGGCGGCAGCAACTTTTCGTGTACAGTGTATTATCGATCTGTCAGAGATTAGCCGTTCCAAATCGTCTCCACTGCTCGGAGTGAGTTCCGAACCGTTAAAGTAGTACTGTCGAATTCGTTCCGTTACGATGGAGGGGTCTTCCGCGGTGTCATGATAGAGCAGGGCGGACGGCGCGATGCGACCAAATTGCGAATTAAGTTTTTTCAGTTTTGCACTAGTTGCAACCACTGTAATGCAAATAAGCAAGTAGAAATTCAGTTTTAAGTACATGCAATTCACGTAGAATTTGTAGATTAAGTAATGCAATTTTACACAATTTTACACAGTGCAGAACGCCTTAGATTTGAGCAAAGTAGCAAAATTTTGTAAGCTAATTTTCCGTGAAAATGTTTGCCAAGGTTAGCAAATGATTTTACGACTGCGTGAATTTAATTGCTTTATATTTTGTAACAAAATTTTTAAAAACTACCCGTATTTACATAAATTTGTAAATGCAATCATTATTAAAGGACTGTTTCTTTAAATGTATGTAATTTTATGAAGAATAATTGCCCGTATGTAACTTACTTGCTTTTGCAAGCCCATAAGTTTCCTTAGCGACAAATCCTATGATAATGGGAACCTTGTTGAAGTCCCCCTTTTCCAGGAGGGTCCAGGGATGCTCACTTAAAAATGAATTATCTGCGTCACCTGGATAGGTTTCGATGGTCGGACCCATGTGAATCGCGCTGGAGTCCATTCCCTGCATCCAAGAAAATTACATTTGCATGAGCTCACACCGTTAGAAATCTGGTTTTAAAGTTGCTACCCTTTGGTATAAAAATTATACTCATCCCTAAAAATAATTATACCCATCCGTAATTTGCTATCAATATTCTAATAATTTCATACTGGGCTATTACTGCGTGGAATTATGATCAATACCATTTTGGTAGACTCATTTATGTATGTGGGAATACCCTTCGGTATTATTTTAGTAGTGGTATTCAGGGCATAAATCTTGCTCGCACTATCCCATAGCTTGCTCGCACCGCTTATGGGCCGGTGCGAGCAAGATTTATTCCCTGGTGGTATTTGGAAGAATATATCCCAAATCGTCTGCATATGTATGTATATATTTAATGTGAGGCGCAGAAAATTAAAACGTTTTCTTGTAAACGTTTAATCATTTAATACAACACTCTCAATAATTTTTTGACAAAATTGTTACCTGCGGAGAGACTATGCAACTCTACCGCGTGGTAACCCTATGGTAACAAATTGTCTTCGGAGGGTAAGAAATTGCCTCTGGTATCGGTAATATTTTTATTACCCGAGCGTAACTTACAAACTCATTAACGAAAACCGACATCACGGCGAGTGTTTCGGGTTTAATTCTTCGCAAACATTCAACCAAATATTCCGCATTACTGGAGGGACAATCGACCGCGGCGGCAAGTTTTTTGGCATCTTTGATCCCATCACCTGCCCGCATGACGTAGGGACACGTGGCCGTCCCACTTTGAAGTATGGCGCCATGAAATAGTCCTGAATTTATTTTTTTAGCAACCTTTTGAAGTTTAAAGCAAATTTATTGACTTCAAAATTACCTTTCGCCATGGGAGACCCCGTCAAAAGTGAAACGGCCGCACCACCAGCACTTTCGCCAAATATGGTGACCCTGTTTCCACAATTTGAATATTAATAAGCACATTTAACGTATTCCAGGTCTGACCTATTTTTGTCACCGGAAAAGGCCTCGATATTTTTCTGTATCCATTTCAATGATAGGACGATATCTTTTAAAGCTTGGTTTCCACGTGCAGATTTTACTCCGGCGTTCAAAAATCCTGTCAAATTTTTGATATCGGAACGTTTTAAAAGTATTTCCAAATTATTTCTGTTTAGGTTTGCGAAATAGATTTTTCTATATTCTGAGGGACGCTACATTCATGTTTTATGGTAATCGTATTAATTTGTCTTCCTAATTTTGATTGGAATTACAAAAGTTAGAGCATTTTAATTTTGGAAATATTTTACTACATAAAGAATTTTTTCGTGTTTTTGCAAAAGTTACATAAAACATGGTAGAGACTCGTAAATTTTGAAAAATTATAATAAAATTCATTACCGAAAGCACCTAATCGATAATTTATCGTGACAAGGACAATTGACTGTTCCATAAAATATTTCCCGCCATAAAATCCTCCCGAACCGTCAATGAAACCGCCCCCAGTCAACCAGACCATGACAGGAAGAAGGTCATTAGTCCCATTAAGTTTCTTTATCTAAAATTTTTACACATATTAAAAATTTGCACTTTTGTTTATGAATGCCATATTTACATACTTTCGGAGTGTAAATATTCAACGTTAAACAATCCTCTGTTCCGGTAACTCCTGGGATGACGAGACCATATCGGTAACACCCGGGACCAGAATCGGTCGCGTTCTTTACTCCAGTCCAAGCTTTGGGAGGGGTAGAAATCTGAGTAGAAAGGAATTCTAAAATTTTCAAAAAGTCAAATTATCGATTAAACAAACTTCTAAAGTCAACACTGAATTTAAGATTTTGCTTCATTTAGAAATAATTTTACATATTTTAGTACATACCCCATTAAAATTATAATTTAGAAATTTAGAAAAGGGACATAATTTCAAAATTACGAAATTCAAATTCCTAACACGATCAAATTTTGCTAATGTATCATATTTCGGTGCTTAATAAAATATTTTAAAAATCGGGACACTCACATCAAACCGTTTTTCCACGTGGCCGTACGGAACCCCAAGAAATTCGGCGTATCTCTCTCCCTTCCGATTTTCTCCGTATACACCCACCAAACGACCCGATTCTATTTCCACTTCGGGATAAGGAACACTCTCATCACCAAGTATGCATTTTATTAAACACAAAATTGCCACAAAACCTGAAACCATGGAGCGATTCATTTTCGCAGCCAGAGAACTACTTGCGATAAAATGATCACCTTTTTTACTGTCAATCATTTATGTACCCCAATTTCAAGGACCAAAGCCCTCGAGAACTTTTCATGACCACGTATCCACACAAAAAGTTGATAAAATAATAAATTACTCGTATCATCCCACTCACATAAATATGAAATCGGTAGAATCATTGCTACATGCATAAGTATTTAATCGCATACACATGATGCAATTAATTCTTCACGGTGTACATATGTAAATAAGGCATGCATACACACATACATACCGAATGAACTGGAACTTTGCAATTTTTTTGCATATGCAAATAAGGGAGTAAACAAATGTTAAACACTGTAATGTAATGTGTCATAAACTTGCAAATTCGTACATACATATGTAACTTTTCCTTAAGTTTCTACCCGAGCGAAGAGCATATGTGACTGTCTCCATGAAAAGGGACGACCTTATTCACCAAATATCTACTTTAGAGACTTTAATTTCTTAGGAAAGTTCTTGCCTCAGGCTTTAATTTGCCATTTATTTCAGCTCAATCTGTCAACTGCAAGTAAAGTTATTTAAATTCAAAATGCTGCATCGACAATATGGCAAAACGACCTTTTGGCGAAAATTTTCATACTGATTGAATTTAGAACAATGTTGTAAAATTTAATATTGTAGCTCATATGGCGCTAATATTAGATTTGCATAGGCAAATACAAGCCGGAATGACCTTAAGTTTTAAATGTGAGGTTTATCGCCCGAGGTTAAGTGTCTAGGTCATGTTAAGATCCTTAAAAAGGTCAAGGCGCAAATTTTTTATTTTTATTAGGTAAAGCAACCCTGTACAACCTTAAGTTTTAAATTTAAGGTGGAATGCTTAAGATTAATGTGTATTTCGCCAATTCAGCTTTTTGACGAAATGGGTTTCGATGAAAGTGTTCTGTTTTGGTATTTTGCCGCTTGTACGAAATGAGCAAAGTATGCATAAGGTCCCTTTTCATGGAGACCGTCACATATTTGACGCTGTGTCGAAAATGCACGGCATGCATAAATGTACATCTATGCCCTATGCATGCTGAATAAACAATGAAAACATGACTGGCAGAAAACAATCCACTTGTTAGGCAGGCATGATAAAGAGCAACTATTTTTTTGTGCCTCCAGAGATGCGAAGCAATTAATGATGATCATCATCGTTATTAAATAAAGCCCAAGACTTACTGCTTGACGTTGATATGCATGTACGTATGTACTTACTACGTATTGAAGGGGGGCCGTGCATAAAGGTTGGGCAGGATTTTAAGTTACAGAATAATTTCATTAACGTTTAAATATTGGCATATTTATGTAAATAACATGGATTTGGTGGTCCCAGTCACAAATCTAAAATGAAGCATGGTACTTCACGCATGGTCTGATGCATTTGCATTGATGCGTTTTTTTGTCGAATTACATACTTAATTCCCACATTGCCTTTTGATTGGGACAATTATTACTCTGGTCATTATTGGTTTCAAGGTTGTCCGACAGGGATGGCGGAATAATGATGGGACACCGTGGGGACATTGTTGCCAAGAAATATGTATGTATGTAGTATAGTATGTATGTATGTATTGGTGGGGTGACGATCCTGCCATTGTTGGACTGGACCGTCAGCTGCGCAAGCACTATGTAGTATAGTAAGGGAAATAGAAGACTGATAGCAAGGGTAAGGTGACACTGTTAGAAATCTAGTATTAAAATAATACCAAAAGGTAACAGCTTTAATACCGATAAATGAATAGCTGCCTGACTATACCAGATTTATAATTGTGTATCTAAGAACAAGTAAAAAGTCCCTATAAACAAATTTGCATAAATAATTTGCAAAAATTTGCACAAATTTACTTGTCTCTGTGCACTGCACTGGAGCCGAACCATCTGCCCAGTTACCTTCCACGGCCGTGGAAAGGTAACTGGGCAGATGGGTCGTGCCAGCGCAATATGCAAATTAAGCAAATGCAATTCATCCTTATCTACGGGCAACTCGTGCTGGTCAGGGTTAGCATGATGAGGTAGATATCTACCAAGAGTGCTTGTAAATGTGTATGTACAAACTAATCTACGATTGATAAATAACATTGGTAGGTACATAGGTAGGACAGTGGAAAATCAGGTAGTTTTTTGTATACAAAGCGCAGTGACGGCGGAACCAAGGGATGCACACTGTAATAGTAAGCATACACATTGTCAATAATAATTTGACCCTTTCTAAATGTAAATGCACTCTAACTTCTAAATTAATTAAACTATCTATATATACAAAATCTAGAGTAGACATTGCTCTTTATCTATGTACTCAACGTTACTCCAGATTTAGACTAAATCCAGAGTAGCGTTAAATAAATATAATTGGCCGCGGAAGCGTGGGGGACAGAGGGACAAAGTCCCAACAGTTGTCCGATGTCCCCATCATCCGCCAATTTTGGACAAACCATTCCCTACCCTTCCTATCCTCCAATGTGTCCTCACAGCTTCCGCGGCCACTGAAACGGTATCATTACTTTGATGAGTGTGACACCAGAAGTGACGGAATTTACACATGTACACGTAAAAATGAAACATTTCGGTATGGACGAATGGACCCCATGTCCCCACAGTTGTGCGGCCCCTGATTGTCCATTGTGTCCATGCATACATATGCACGCGATGAATGAAGCTGTGTGTTGTTGTAATACTTAATCTGTGAGTAATCGTCCCAATCTCGTGCATGCGTTCGGTTGCCAGGCCAACTGCAAGTTTATTTAAATGGTTACAGTCTCAAAAACCTGGGTCATAACGAAATATTTGGTCGAGCTTATAATAAAAATGGTCGTGTCGCTACCAATTTTAATCGCCCTCGTGGTGGGGGCCAGTTTATACTATGTTTTTATTTCGAGGAGGAAAAATAAGGGGAAACTTGATGGAAAAATCCCATCAGGTCAGTATGTAATTAAAAAATCGGGAATTTACATTGATTTTGAGACTATTTCAAAATTCCAGCATTTATTTAAATACTTCTCCTATCAACATTCTTAAATAAAAAGTTTTAATTGACATGAATCAACTCGCAAATTCAGCACATTAATTTTTTTCCAAATTGAAAATAAGAATGTTTTAATTTCGCAATTTTTAGTAATTTTGTAAGCGGTACGATTTGTTAAACAACTGGACACAAAAAATCTGAGAACTTATCTAGCAGGATTTATTTATATGGAACACGAGCAAATTTTTAATTCAGGAAAATTTAAGGACTTTTGTCCCAATTTTTAGTGTTGAAATTTACAACGTTTATGCATTTACACACATATGTAAGCGTGAATTGAATTTCTCTCAATTTCAGGCCCGTGGGGTCTCCCATTGTTCGGAAACATGTTACAACTCGACAAAACCAGCCCATTCCTCCAGTACGACAAGTGGGCCCAGAAATACGGCGATATTTTCTCCGTCACGATCTTCGGAACTCCGTAAACTGAATTTTATGTCTTGAATTTTCGTTTTTTTAGAATTAAAAAATGTACTAATTTTAGCCATATAATTAACAAATTTTCAGCACTTATGTTGTCTCTGATCCCAAAATGGTGAAGGAAATGTTTTCGCAAGAACCAGCTTTCGCAGGGAGGTTTAATGTCGGGGATGATGTCCCGTTTAATGAATTTTATCCAACTTCCGGAAAAGTTCATGGTGAGTCAAATTTCTAAAACTAAAAATAAACATTATAAATTACATACTTCGATACATGAATTATGATTATTCGTTTTCATTGGTTACATTCATAATGTACATATTACGCTTAAATTTCGAGATGTTAAATTTTACACGAAATGCTTATTCTCAACATTTTAAGAAACCATTGCAATTTTAAAATAGGGATCGTTCATAAATTGTATATTGCGAGATGTAGGAAGGGGGGGGGGCTAATGCTCCAGCGAAAACGTGCCTATCATGGTAAATGGGGAGTCTAGTACATATGTAAATCGCGATGTTTGCAGTACATAATTAAATAAAATCGCAATATTTGAATTTGCAAACATTGAAACTGTGGAGTTTCACAAAAGTTTGCTGAATACGGGACCATCCATAGATTATGTCACGCGAAAAGGGTGAAGGGGTCTAAAGCTCTAATTAAAACATTCCCATGATAATCGGGCAGGGGGATCTAGAAATTTTGTGAAATTGCGATTTTTGTGTGAAACAATTTATGGATATTCTAAAAATGTATGTATGAAATGAAATCTAAACATTATTGGCACAATTTCAAGTTTTTCCACGTATAATTTTCAGGAGTCATAAACACGGAAGGGAAGGACTGGGAGGACATTAGAAGATTCACGCTCCGCCAACTGCGAGACTTTGGATTCGGCAAGAGCACGATGGAGGGCTTAATCATGGAGGAACTTAAGGAGGTATTGGACTGGATGAAGTCCAACGAGGGCAAACCCCTCACTGACATTAAGGCCAAGATGACCATCGCCGTGGTCAACTCGTTATGGATGGTCATTTCTGGCAACCGGTACAAACACGACGACCCAAGAATATTAGCGTTGTCGCACGACCTCACAAAGTAAGTGGATCTGTCAAGTTAAATTGAGGAATAAACCGTAGCAAACGCACATAAGATAGTAGCTTCAGTCTCACTTCACCCCAACCATTCCCAATACACTTTATTTCGCTGTATTTAATCAATGGATCCGGTTTCAGTAAGAATCTCATTTTGCCCCTACCACACCCCCTGACTCCGGTGGGGGTGGTCCGATTAATCCCAAAGGTGGATAGCATCATCCCCCTGGGGTCATGTGTATGATACCGCAAACCGATTTCGATTATCTCGATCCGCTCTCCCTTTATCTTGTTGACAGACGGACAGAAAGACAGACAGACGTACAAAGTTATCGAATAAAGTAGCTGAAGCTACTTAATAATTTATTAATTTGTTAGGAGAAATCCTTTGAATCTTTGGACTTCTATTGCACTAAATTTATATATTTTTAATTTTTAGTTCTTTAAAGATAATTCTGCATAGTTTGTGCAAACCTACATAAATAGATTATTTTTATTTCGAAATTTTAAATTTTGTAAATCCTACCTAATTACCAAATTAATGTTTACCTAATGATATTTCACTAGCCGTTCTTGTATTTATCTCAAGTTTAAAAAAATCCCTATAGTTTTTAAAAAACGCGAAATGCACTCTCTTAAAAATCCAGTACTAAAAAAATAAGCGATATGCATAGATGACTCTACCAAAGTGGTAATACTTCGATATCGGTTAAGCTTTGTAACATCGGTAGCATAATTTTAATATATACCAACCAGTAGCAACTCTAATACCGAGAATTTGCTTGCACCAAATTTCTAATAGTGACATGTTTCCACACGTTTTGGCAAACTCTGTAAATTCAATAATTTATATTTATGTATTTTAGGGCGATGGAAGAAGCCGCCTCGGATGGCGCAATAGTCTTTCTGTTCCCCTGGTTGGAAAAACTAGGGTACAAAGGGTTCACCTCGTTTCGAAATTACGTCGACAAAATGCGAGTCGTATTCACCCGGGCGGTGGAGGAACATAAGGAAACTTATTCGGCGGATTATGCAAGGTGGGAATTTTAATTTCCGACCATGATTATCAAATCAAATTCCCGAAAAAAACGAATATCAATTGGAAATTTAAATGACTCATTTTTTCAGAGATTTTATCGACGTTTTTCTTAAAGAGGTTAAATCATGTAAGGACTCTGACTCCGCATTCTACAAGGATTTTGGAGGTACATATTCTAAATACTTCAACTTTAAAGTATTATTTTACGGTAATAGATATCGGAAATTTCGGTTTTTGAAAATCCCTTAATTTAACTTTCTAAGAGCGTCAATTAATCACCGTCGTCAAGGATTTATTTGAAGCTGGGACAGAAACCTCGTCCACCACTCTGTCTTGGATATTCCTCTACATGGCCACGTTTCCCGAAGTGCAGAAGAAAATGCAGAAAGAAATCGACGACATGGTGGGAACGTCGAGACTTTGCGGATTGTCGGACAGGCCGAGGTTAATAATTTCGAAAATCCCGATTTTTATTTGTTACGAGCGTACACTCACGGATATATATTGTGCGTCACAATTCATTTAGAAAACTTACGAAGCTAAAAAAAATTATGTTAGGAAAGAATTTTGCAAAATATAATTTCTAAAATTTTGCAAACAGGTGCGTTAAAATTTGACGTGCGATTTACAAACATGCCCAATTTATGGGTAAATTTGCAAAAAATCGTTTGGCTTCCCAGCAAAATTTTTGCGAGTTCTAGAGTAAATGTTACAAAACCTCGCAATTTGCGCCACTGTGCTCAATTTTCGAGATAAAGTTGATGCGTGAGTACATACGCTCAGTGATTTGTTTTTTCTTAATGTTTGCCTTCTTCGCATTTTTTAGTCTCCCCTATGTCGAAGCCTTCATCGCCGAGGCGCTCCGCTTCTCCTCCATCGTTCCCGCCGGTGTCGCACATCGCGCCCTTTTCGACGTGGTTTACAAAGGATATGCCTTCCCAAAGGGGACCGCAATCTTTCCCAACTTGTACGGAATCCATTTCAACCCCAAAATCTTTACGGATCCACAAAGCTTCAAACCTGAACGATTTTTAAGCCCGGATGGAAAAACGTTTAAGAAACACGAGGCCCTCATGCCATTCTCGATTGGGCGACGACAATGCGCGGGCGAAACTTTGGCGCGAGATACGCTCTTTCTCTACACGGCGAATATCTTTCAACGATTCTTTGTCAAGTTTGACCCCACCGATTCGAACGCGAATCCAGGCTTGAAGACGTCTGCGTCATTTCTGTTGACCCCGCAACCTTACAAGATCGTCCTGAAGGACAGGTTAGCTTGATTAGTACATATTCAGGTGGAAGGATAACCCCAGACTTCACTGTACTTAAATTTTTCATTTTTTCTGTGAATTATAATTCGATTTCGAAAAATTATTTGTCTTCAAATACTTACCATTTATGTAAATAATTCTCATTGTTCGAGAAATATAATTACTGGTGCCGACTAAACGTTTGATTCAATGATTGATTGACTTTATTGTTTAAATACTATTCGGTCCCCTTTTTATTTCTATATACTCGATCGGAATTTAATCAACACATAAACCTGAAATTATGACAAAAATTGCCATGGCTAAATAACGGTAACTGAACTTGTTTTTCTCGCACGCATGGGAGCCAATATACCGTGTCCCAGGGAAAGTTAGACAATGATCCATGACCTGTGTAGTTCGACCTGGTTAAAATATTTTTATAAAGTCTTCAGTGCAGGGTAGGTGGTAATCATACCAACCAGTTTTGGTCACTGAGGATTTTTATTATTCCATTCCTTACCACCAATACGAATTTTCGCAACAACCCACGAATTTGTGATTTTCACTCGTTTGCTAAATGTACTGGCTGATTTTTCGCCATTCGCGTTTGAATTCTTCCAGCTTTTTCGCATTGGACTTTAGGTTAGAGTATCTTGTTTCGTAAAAGGTATAATTTTTTTTGATTCGTTGCAATTAAGGGGCATTTGAAGCGTTGTCTTTTTCGAGGACAAAATCGACTCGTTCAGCCCGAAAGTACGCGGTTAAAATTTTAGCGAAATGGAAGGTTGCGAGGTCCGGCCAAAATCAAATTTCGTTCAGATTATGAAGTTTCCTTATCCAGAGCTGTGACACTTTCAAAAATTCATTTTTATTAGCTTTTGTATTTCTGATAAATTTTTAAATATAAGGTGGCGAAATGTTGCCAAAACCGACCGGCCCCAGCCAAACGAGGAATTTCATAAGGAATTTGGTTTTCACTTTAAACTCACGTTGATATTCCACATCAGGGGAGTTAGGGGAGTGAAAAAATTTCAATTCCGGTGTCTCTGATAGATCAACTTTGCCGTAGTTTTCATCATAAATATCGATAATTTTTAATGACATTTATAGACGCTCTTTTTTATAATTTTTTTGCACTCTCCTTTTTTAGTCATTAACGTACTTTGGGAAACTTGAATTAGGTTTTTTCGTAGTCCTCAATTTATGAACTTCAATGTTGTGGAACAAGCACTTTGAAATTGGCAGTACCCGAGTAGCGCCACGAATTTACGTGGAAGGAGTAGTGCTGAAAAGTGTGTTTACGTTTTTCGAGTTTCGATAGATGGCTATGAACAGAGGTGGCCTGGAAATTTCTAAAAAGTGCCCTTTTTGGCATGCTCATACTTCGAAATATAAAGGTAGATTACCGTTTTGTGACACCTTTCCGCGTTGAAGTACTGCCACGTCATTTTTAAGTCACGTCAAGCGACAATTTTGTACTTGTGAAAAACTCGATTCGCGAGGTTTTCACTTTGACCCCGATTTCTATTGAATTTCATCATTTTAATAAAAAATGCGTTACACCTGCTGGAAGCCCTTGAAATTGCGTTTCAAGAAACTAAGATAGCTAAGCAACAATATCCACTAATTGCTCAGCAAACTATATAATAGAACTGTCTAACCAAACCTGGGACATGCCTTAGTTCAGAATGAGTTATACACAATTTATAGAAACGTCCATATATACACGATTATGTAAATTATGTTATCCAAAAGGTGGGTTCTTGGTTTTGAACCACCCTTAAAATGATACACACTTAACAAAATTTGAAGTGAAAATTTATAGTTATAAGTTTTGCGTCAATGGCTGACCATGTATCCAATGATACATACTACCAACCCAGAGTAATAAATTTTTCTCGTAAATTTCTCTTACAGTATAAATATTTTATTTGCATTAATATGTAAGTGCACCAGACATTAAACATCGTATTCTATGATCAAGACTTTAAATTTCACCTGAACAATTATGCATAAATCACTCACAGCTAAATTACTTATTGAGATAGTGGGTTGTAAGCAGTTTTTCATTAAAGGCTGAGCACAGTAAATATTTAAGACATGAACATATTTATTTAGGTACAAGGTAATCAAACAAGTATTTATATCGCAAGACTCTATCTAACTATTTCAGATTTCATGTAAACCCTCACTTAGTTAGGCTAATTTTTGAATCACTGAATGGTAGATCGTATATATTTATTGATGGTGAGAAATATTATAAAATGTATGCAGGTTCTGGACAAGGCTCGATTCTCGGGAGTCTCATTTTTTGTTTATTTCTTGATGACATTTCTGAAATTATAGATATACAATTTTTAATGTATTCTGACGACATCGTAATCTATACCCATGGATGTGACACCGAAATTATAAAATCCTCGTTAGTAGCCTGCTTCGATAAAATGTGTACCTGGTTTGATGCTAACAAAATGTATGTAAACTTTGACAAAACCAAGTTCATGATATTTTGTAAAGAACACGACTCGGTACCAACTAATATTACCCCATTTATTGTACAAAACCATACAATTGAACGGGTCAATAGCTTTAAGTATCTCGGCATTCTACTCGACCCAGCGCTGAACTTTAACTTACATTTTGACTCAATTTACAAGAAATTGTGCGGTAGAGTTAAATTCCTATATGGTGTCAAGAGATACTTAAATCTGCAGGCCTTAAAAGCCATGGTTAATACACACCTACACTCTTTGACTGATTACTGCCTTGACATTTGGGCCATACATAATGACACTAAACTTGACACCTTACAAGCAAAAATCGATAAATACCTATGTATTTATTTTTACTCGAGAGTTGCTAAGAAAACAAAAAAGAGTACAAGTATTTCCTTCTCGAGCATTCGCAACTCGGCTGAAATGACACGGATTCGTGACGACTGTAACTTTTTGACATTAAGTGAGAGACTGAAGTTTGTAACTCTTAAAAATGCTTATAAGAGATGGTCTCCAGGCAAGCTTTCTTTTTCCGACAGTAGAGTTTCCTCGAATTTATCCATGCCGAAGCTTGACCCTATTGTGCACAGGACTGAGTCCCGTAAGCGGGCCCTCACATATCGCACCTACAAATTATGGAATGCCCTCCCAAAAACCTGGACATTCAAAGACATGACTTACTCAACGTTTTGTGACTCTGTTAAAGATTATATTTTAAGTCTTCGTGAAACAGTGTAAAAGCAACTGTATGTATTATTTAGTTTATAGTTATAGAACATTGTATTAGTTCAAATTTTTTTTGAGATTGTCGCTGGGTGTCCAGTGCTGACGCTCGTACGACACCATTAATAAAAACTTCAATCAATCAATCAATCAATCAATCATATTTATCATTGTTCTAAACGGTTCGTGCAACCAGGATCAATCCCATGATGATATTTTGGTGCAACTTTTTCTGGCGCAGATTAAGGAACATTTATCATAAATGTAATGCAACGAGTTCCTCAGCACACGTTCGATCAACGTATAAATCTTGCGACGTATCTCAGCGATAAAAACAACACAAGCTCCCAAAAGTGTCCCCCAGCATAAAATAAATAGCGTTAAGATTGCTGCATTTAATCCAACCGCCTTCGTCAATGGTTCAGTTTCAAGTAACTTTGCAGGTTTTCGATGTAAATATTTCTGGTACACTTGCTCTTTCCGCAATCTTAGGTATATTCCATTTTCCATCAAGTATTTAAAATATTTTGGCACCTTGGACATACCTTCATCATAAAACTTCCAACCGAATGAAACCTTCGCCAAGATTTCTTTCCCCTTATAAAATTTTCTGGTTGGATAATTTCTAGCCAAGAATTGTAGTTCGGCATCGATGGCGGCCGATTTTGCGAAGAAGATTGACTTTCCACATTCCACTAACTCACTTTCTACATTATTTTGCACTTGGATCAACGTCTGACTCTGGTTAGAATATTGAAAACCCCTTGGATGGTGTGTATGGCGTGGGTCCAATAAATTTAATAATTGCAGGGCCATTGTACTCACAGAACTGATGTTCATCCCTAGCTTAATCTCACCCCGTAAAGAAAAGAAAGCATATTCCAGGAATTCGGGAAAATGTGCACACCCTGAGACATATTCACGCGGCAAGGAAAGCAAGTGAAAGCATTTCTCTGATTTGAATGGGTTTGCTAATTCCAGAACGCGTTGGTTCCCATTCCGGAAAAAAATCAGTTGCATTCATGTAATTCAAGTCTAGGAGGCTCAATACGAAAAGGTACCATGCAAAACGGTCATATCCCGCCTTTTGGCTGACCTCTTTCTGGTCAAGTAGAGCTGTATGATTTTTATATCGTATGTTGTAGTTTAGAGCAATTTGTGGTATTTTTGATATAGCGCTCTTCTCCATTGTCTCGCAGATCAGATGGTCAAAATGTTCCAGCCGTATAGTATTCATAGGCAAGTTAAGTTCGGATATCAGGATCCCATTGTAGCAATTTGTAATAATTACAGACATCGTACACCACGAGCCGAGAATTATGCGGAAGAAACGGTGATTTTCTATCTTTATAGGTAGGTGACCACACTCTTCAAAAATGTTGGCAAGAACGAAGAGCCAGGGTGCGAATGGGATTGTTCTGAAATTCGTGAAGTATTTGTAGATTGTTGTTGTTACAATAATTGATATCAGTGAGATGAATAACGAAGCCCATGCCCATGGTTTGAACGGTGTAATGTACAATTTGAATGTGATATACCCATCTCGATGGCAGGTTAAAAATTCGTATCCTGAGGTCTCTGTAAAAATTGCGGTAACGCTTTTGTAAATTTCTCCGGGAAATTTTTCAATAACCAGTGTAGATTGGAAAGAAACACACTTTGTTTTATATTCTAGAGTCTCATTTGCCGCAAAGAATACAATTTCCAAAACATTTTTGATATGAGTATTGTTATCCTTGGTGTCAAAATGATTTTTTGTTCCTCGCGGTTCACCATCAAACCTTACTTCGGTACCTTCGGCTTGGTGTTGCCCTTCGTAGCACCATGGCTGAGGAAATATTTTAACATTACGGGTAATATCAAACACTTTTCTGTCTAGGTTTTCGGATCTTTGTGATACACAGTGCAAATGTTCGTTGAGGTTGGACATAGGTATATCATCGATCCACCGTTTATTATACGACCAAGCGCACACTTCATATTGATTTTCTGGCTTAATGAAAACTACGGATATTTTAAAACATTTATTTCCTCTAAAATAAACTTGTCCTAGTCTCTTTATGTTAGCTTGTGTCGTAACAAATGTCAAAATAGGATCGTTCAATCGCAAACCAGTGATTATTCGGTATCCGCTGTCTATGTAAAACATAGTATGCACTGCGACTTCAATCCATTCACTCAAGTCCAATTCGGCTACCAAAATCGGCTTGTCAAACCCGAGATAAGGACTTGACATTAATATGACAAGTTTGCAATACGAGGCCACTCGTGATTTATGAATGCCAATTTGCAGCGGTGCGTACCCATCCCGTAAATCATGTTGTGACATGTCCACAATTTTAGCGGGTAACTTGACATTAAACCAATCAATACTACTGTTCGGTCCATCATGAAATATTTGAATTACACAATGAGAATCCAATTCATCTATCAATATGTCAAATACTGGGAGGACAGCTGGTAGAATAATGGCTGTACACTGAAGATAAGGGAATAACAGAATTGCAATAATATTTGGGATTCCTTCCATTTATATTGAATATACCTACAAGATCCCTTTCTTGTTTAAAATATCAATTCTCCATGATATCGCTACAACGATTTGAATTGTTGAGGTTTATGAAATATTTAAATGTCTTAGGACTTTAACACCCTAATCCGATTTAACATTATACCAAAATATACCAATGTTGTACAATTATGGTGCACTCTTAGCAACTTGGTAAAGAATTCTTAATAAGCGTCTTTACCGAGCTGTTGGTAATTACGCGTCCTACAAAAATTATACGGGGTTATTACCGTATCAATACCAAACGGGTAACTGGCCATCCACCGCAATGTTTTAAGTTAGCTTTATAATTTTGGTAATAAATTCCTACGAGTCGGTAATTATATCCTGCAAATTTAGATAACACTCTTTACCATAATTTTAGTAAAGCGCAGTACAAATTGGTGCTAATGAGATCTACATTTTGGTGTAGTTTATTACCATGGAGGTAAGAATTTTAATACATTTGGTGAAAATTGTGAGACGCTAAACAGTGGCGCATTTGTCAGTTTTAGTTTCCGCTCAGCTCAACTCAAGTCAACATGGCGAAATTAATCCATTCTGTCCAGAAGTTTTTATCAGTGAAAAAACTGATAAAAACTTCTGAGAATTATATAGAATTGTTGAAACAGGTAAGTATCAAATTATCATATGTATGTAGGTGCCTTATCAAGATGGTGATCGAGCACCATCATAATAATAGGAAAGAGTTAATAATAATCTTATGCGGTTATTTTTTCAGTGAAGCAAAAATTTAAGTTGGAAATCGGAGCAGATTTCAACTTCGTGTAAATATGTATACATGTGTGTGTGTGTAATTCCATAGTTTGCATTATACTTAAATTTTATAATTATGTATGTTTCAAAACTATTTTACAATAAATATAATTGATTGAAAGATTATTGTAAACAAAAACAAAAAATCTATTCTTTTCGGTGGAAATCTGCACAACATTTGGTAATAATGGGGTATGCATATGAAAAACATTAATACCGGTATAAATAGCACACCGTGTACAAAGTGGTATGCTTTATTACCAGGCGGTTGACATTTTACTACATGTTGTAGTACATCTGTCATACATCATGGTATTAATTTTATCCCAAAAAGTGTTCTTTATTACCACTTCGGGTTCAATCAATTTCTTTACCAGCCGGTGGTTATTATTACCGTTTCTGCAGAGTCATATACGTGTGCATTTGGGTAATGATTTGGTAATGATTTTATTTAGAGTGTGTTCGTGAGGCATAAAATCTTACCTCTTTCGGTCAGGGGCCAATGACGCCTCTATTGTCCCACTATTACTGTTATTATATAATATATTATATAATATTACATACTGAAATTACCGTTATTATATATCTGATTAACATAATACAATATGCATGAATGCAAGACTACAGAGATATAGATATTTATATAACATCGATATGATGATACTCATAAATGCTATGTTGAAGATATGCAAGCTTGGCCTGAAAGTTATACACGTGCCTAGTTAATAAAGAAATACGTATTTGTCCACGTAGAATAAATTTCTGAAGATCAATACATTGGTATCAAACTTGCACATAACGTTACAGAATATTAAGTGCACAACCCGCAGGATTCAGGTTTAATTATCTTGTATAAATAAATTATTATTTGTGTATGCAAATACCTATATGTTACCAATTATGTATGTACATAAATAAGTATTTTTTCCAATTTGCACGTAATTACTGTCCTTCATTTCTTACAAACATGGATGATTACTGAGAGGTATTTACATCGGATATGAAGATACCCATTAATTACATAAATACATAAATACTCCAATACATATTTGAATTTGTGTTCTCTGAAAAATTGTATTTAAACCTTTTCAAATGCGTGGTATTGGAATTTAAGTTTCCAATTAAACAAATAAAAAAAGGCTGGGAGAAGAAATCTATTCCAAGAAATTCGTAATTCTTGAGTGGATGCAGTGTTACGCCGCCTGTTCTGCTAAATCAGTCTCCCTGTCACTCCCACTGTCGTTGATTCCCTTATGCCGAAGATTAATAAGTTTTTTAAGCGTCTCAACCCACATATCTGCTTGAGGATCTTGAATAAACTTGAATAAATGAATGAATGAAGTTGAATTGAATGATGATGAGAGCGGTCCAAGCAACTACCCGTCGCAAGCGTTTCTCCAATGTGAGCTAGAGATGACCGTAGACCTTGGTGGCTAATTGTCACTTAAATAACTCGTGCCTGCTCAAACTGATAAAGAAACCCTACTGAAAACTTTAATACTGGGTTTTACTTATTTATTTGCATGAGCTACTTTTAATGAACAACAATTAATGAAGAAACAATTAACTTTGTTCTTCCTCTTTTTAACACTACTTTATACAACCACCTTCTTCCTCTGTTACTTTCTCTTAACTGACCAAATTCTCTCCAAAAATGCCCAATCATACCACACCGCGACATACAAAATTATAGGGAAATGTGAGATTCCTTCATTCTCCCACCTCTTTTACAAGTAACATGAGTAAAAGAACAATTACAACTAAATTCATAAACTCATAAAATAAAACTATTTATTCCAACTTCCATAGCGGCTTGGTATGGCGATTTCACGTCCGCTCCTGGTTTTGTAGACGTGATCTCCTTCATTTAATTCTTCTTGCTTGGTACTCTCTTTAGCGTTATCTTTGATCGCTTGTGTGACTTCAATTGATTTAGGGTGGGGTACTTCCAATGGGTAGAGACGCTGGAGCGGTCTCAATAATGACCCCAACTTGGTCTTGACTTTGGCAACTCGGACATTTCCATCTCTACCTGGATAGACTTCCAATATCCGCCCGAGTGGCCACTCGAACCTCTTCTTGTTATCCTGCCCCACCAGCACGACGTCACCGACCTCAGGCGTAGGCGTCTTCTTCTCGCTTCGGTGTTGGACTAGGTTGGCAAGATATTCTTTGCGAAATCTTTCCCTCAAGGCTCGCTTCAAATTTTGAATCTTCTTATAACTTTCTCCAATCGTCCGTCCGACAATCAGGTCATGTTCTGGTAGACCGGCGACTGGTAAGTCTTTCATAAACATGGCTGGAGTTAGAGGAATGAGAGCCTCGTCGTCTTCCGTTAATGTGGTCAACGGTCGATTGTTGATGGTGTATGAGATAGACGCCATACAACTTTCCAACTCCTTCCTGGTCAGCTTCGCCGTTCCCAACATTCTTCTCAGCAATTCTTTTACACTTCGAACAAGCCGTTCCCACCACCCTCCCCACCACGGTGAACTGGGAGGATTTAGAGTCCAGTTGATTTTCTTGACTTGCAATAATTCTTCCAATTTGATCCAATTCAGCTTCTTCATTAAATTGACGGCGCCAACAAAATCGGTTCCGTTATCGCTGAAGATGTTTGAAGGTCGCCCAATCAGACAGCAAAATTTCTCCAAAGAATCCAAAAAATCTTCACTGCTGAGCGAGTCTACGATGTCCAAATATATACCGCGATAGACAGCACAGGTATATAAAACAATCCAAAGTTTCTTCCCTCCCTTCATCACTAATGGTCCTGCGAGGTCGACTCCCGTAGTTTGAAATGCATACTGAAGATCGATCCGCTTTTGAGGAAGGGGGGCTGGTTCACACGTCATATGCTTGGCAGTATGACGACGACACACGACGCACTTCGCGAGAACCTACTGTTTTCCTTCCACTTGGGATCCAGTATCGCTCGCGTAACTTCCCAAGAACAAACTGAGTCCCAGCATGACAATTACTCATATGGATATACATAATTAATTGATGAGTAATTGGGTCAGAATTTGGCAACAAAATTGGGCTCCGAAATAATATTGAGTCTTCCTTGTAGGTCAATCTTGTCTTGACATGCCATAATCCATCATCTTGAATCTCGACTTGAATATTCCCCATCACTGGTGACTTTATGTTGTAATGTCGTTGTTGAATGCTTCTCACGACGTCCAATTCTGCAGCTCTCATTTCACTCATGATGAGATATATGCTGGTTGAACGATTCTCTTTCTTATTTCTCGCATTGTTAATGAATCGTCTTATCCAACCAGCTACACGAATGTTCTTCAAATATGTGGAGAATCTTGGGGAACTGGGGTCGACAGTGGTCACCATCATGATTTCACACTTCTTCAGCTCCTTCGCCACTTCATCTTCGTCATATTTCAAATTTTGTTGAGGCCACTTCTTCTCATCCTCGTATAGCCATCTGGGTCCCTCCCACCATTTGGTTTCCAATAAAGCGGAAGGAGAGCACCCTCGGGACGGAAGATCTGCTGGGTTCATTATACCTGGCACGTGCCTCCACTGCTCTGGTCTTGTTAATTTGTTTATTTCACGGACTCGATTTCCAACAAAAGTCCCGTAATTTTCGTTTCGCTTAATCCATGCTAAAACAGTTGTTGAGTCGGTCCAGTAGTGACACTCAACTTTCTCCATGGACAGCGCTTCCTTAATTGTTTGTCCTAATCTTGATCCAATTAACCCACCAAGTAATTCTGCTCTCGGTATGGTCAACTTCTTGGCCTTCTTATTGTCCAGAGGTGACACTCGTGACTTTGACATCAACAATTGCACGGTCACTTTGCTTCCACTCTTGACTCGAACAAACACGACGGCTGCGTAAGCCTGCACACTCGCGTCGGTAAAGATGTGAAGCTGAATCTTATCAGGTGGGTGTGGGCCGAATGCTTGTCTTGGAACTTGAATCTTGCCCAATTCGCCCAGTTCCTCCCACCATTCCATAAACTTCTTAACTTGATTTTGATTCCAGGGCTCGTCCCATTCTAAATCCATTGCCCACGATTCCTGCAGCATCAACTTGGGCTGGAGGAGGGCTGGCGACAATATTCCCAACGGGTCGAATATTTGCGATACCAATGATAGTACACTTCTCTTGGTAACTACCAGATCGTCTTCAAGTGTTTTCGGCATTTGACAGAACAACTTATCTTCAGACTTGTCCCATTTCATTCCTAATACTGTCGTGGTCACATTATTCAAGTCATTGCTTCGCTCCCACTGGCGCAGGTCCATTTTCGCCTCGGCTAATAATGTAATGGACTTCTGCCTGAACTCTTCATATTCTTCATCAGTGTCGAGCGATACCACACAGTTGTCGACATACAAGGATTTCTTGAGCAGCTCTGCCACGGTTTTGAAATCTGGTTCAACTTGACTCAGATGATGTTCCAACACGGCTGCCAAGATAAATGGGCTACAGTTTAGGCCAAATACCACTCGGGTGTGTCGATACTCTTTGATGATTTCATTGATCGGATCCTTCCACCAAAGAAATTTCTGGAAGTTCAGGTCTTCACTTGCCACTCCCACCATTTGGAACGCTTTCCTTATGTCAGAGATGATCCCAATTTTCTTCTCTCTGAAGCGCAGCAATATGGAGGGAATGAGCTCCAACATGTTCGGCCCCTTCTCCAGGCACTGGTTGAGGGACGGATTCTTTCCTACTTTGCAACTTGCATCAAAAACTGGCCGGACGGGTGTCGTAGCACTCACCGGCTTGAAAACTGGTCGATGTGGGAGAAAATGATCCTTTTCTGCACAATTCTCTTCCACTCGCTCAATAATTCTTTCTTGCTCCCACTCCTCGAAAACGTGGTCATATTTGTTGTAGTCGCCTTTACTCTTCAGTCTCTGTGTTGACGACACAAGCATCTTTTCCGCCACGCCTCGATTGCTTGGAAGGGAGATGTCATTCGAAATCCATGGGAGTTTAACTTCATATCTTCCATGGTCGTCACGTGTTATTTGTTGTTGGAACAGACTTTTCACTTTCATGTCGTGTTCCTCTTGACTTATTTTCTCGGCTGTATCTTTAATTCCAATTGTGTCAAGATTCCACAAATTGGGTAGAGACTTCTCATCAATTGTCATCATGGGTATGACGGTGGCAGCATAACTCTTGCTTGGTTGAACTGGCACCTCTCCACTTAATGTCCACCCAAAGACAGATTCCACTGCGATGAGTCCATTCTTCAATTTATACATCCTACCAGTCATCAATTTTCCCCACAGATCACTTCCAATTAAGATGTCGATCTCTGATGATCCGCTCCACATGTCGGAAATATATATCTTCTTACTTGCGAGTTCAGAAATCCACGGACCAGTGGGGACAGCAGGGCATCCACTACAAATTTTATCTTCATTAATGAGGATTACTTCTTGAGAAAAGGCACCTCCAACTTGTTTTAAAATAACTCGATGGTTATTCTTCACTTTAATTCCCATCGTATGTCCGCCAAATAAAGTATTTTGCAGAGATAACTGTCCAACGATGGGGCACTTTAACTTGATGGCGAGGGAGGTCTTCACGTAGCTTCGTTGACTCCCTTCGTCAAATAATAATCTGACCACTTGTTCCTCTCCAGTGAACCCTTTGACTCGGACGTGGAGAGTTTTCATTAGTATAAGCTTGCTGTCGGTCGAGTTGATCATCGTCGGGGTGAGCGTCATTCCTTGGACCTCTTGCGATAACTCTCGAATTTCTCCTTCAGTTCGCTTATCTGGACACATAATTGCATAATGTTTCCTGTTGCAGATTGGGCAGCTCACATGACTCCTACAATTCTTGGATATGTTACCTTGCTTCAAGCACGAGAAGCAAGCACGACTCTCCTTGATTTTCTGATCTCTTTGTTCTTTATTCATTGTTCTGGCTCGGTAACAATCCTGGCTGGGATGGTTACTTTTGCCGCAAAATGCACACGTCGGGATCTTCGAGTTGACCGACAAACTTGCGGCTGTTGGGACATCTTTCGCTGCTTTCTTTTCTCGATGCCCATGACTTTCTTTCTTGGTTTCTTTTGACTCAGAAAATCCAATCTTCACCAACTTCCTCATTTCTTCGGCTTCAACTTCTTGCTTGATGAAGTCCATGAGGTAATCCAATTCTGTTCTCGGTGGCGTCGCTGTACTCCCATCTTTTCCATAGAAAGAGCTCCTTTGCCAGGCGATGAGAGTTTCTTCCGGGAGGCTGGACTCCACCATCGGATACAAGAACTCTGCTGCATTATCGGATGTGGATCCAAGACTCTCGAGCGACCTCAATTGTGATTCGAGACGGTCATACATTTTTGACAACTCCACCTTTTGATTGGCGTTGACATTGACCATCCTCAACATCTCTCTCACATATACTTGTTTCAATAATCTTGACTTCCCAAAGCGATCTTGTAATGCTCTGATAACTTTGGGATAGTTCTCTTCTGACTGGGGGTAGCTATCCACCAGGTCTCTCGCCCTCGTTCCTTGGGGAATGCACTGGATCAAATATTGAAATTTGTCCGAATCGTGTAGACCATCATCCTCATGAATTTTCTTGAATTGCGCCCACCAGCCCAGCCACTCTGTCAACTCTCCATTGAATTTCTTCAACTGGATTTTCGGCAATTTGTAATTCTTCTTGTGATCTGTATCGGTGTGAACACTGGCGTAACTATTGGTACTTGCTGGTGGGGTTGATGATGCACATCCATTTGCCAATACCATCTCAACACGGACCTTGATATTGGAATGCTTTTCTATATACTCCATAATTCTATTGTTTTCATCTGCATAGGCTGTTTCTTCTGCGAATTCGTCATCAAGAATCGCATCCAGAATTTCTTTGTCGAGCTCGGCGACTTTTTCCCGAACTTGCTCCAAAACAGTCATCTTGCCGTAAATGAAGCTGACATCTGGTTCTTGTTTCCCCAGCTCGGCGTCCAACTCGTTGATCAATCTTGTCATGGTTGACCGCTGGGGTGTCCTCTGCTTTTTCAGCCGATCCATCTTTGCTGGTTGATGAGAAGCTCAAAAAACAATCCAACAAAGGGAGACAATTTTAATTATCAGTTCTATTTATGACGCCAAACTGGACGTTATAACCTCGACTGATCTCGCATGCACAAGATAGGGCAACGACGAGGCCTCAACGAGGAAATGCAGTTTTTTATTAAAATCCTGAATCCTCCAAGTAGGTCAAAACTAGTTTGATATCACCTGATTTTACCCCGAACACTCAGGGTGGGGTCCTCAAGAAGGCAATTCTTGATGATATCCTTTCCTTGTCCTTGCTCCAGTTCCCGTCGACGCCAGCGGCTTTATTGTCCGGTCAAACTGGTCAGGTCACTTGTCTTCTGGTCGTCTCTAGTCTCGGTGGGACCTCCAAAATGATGAGGGCGGTCCAAGCAACTACCCGTCGCAAGCGTTTCTCCAATGTGAGCTAGAGATGACCGTAGACCTTGGTGGCTAATTGTCACTTAAATAACTCGTGCCTACTCAAACTGATAGAGAAACCCTACTGAAAACTTTAATACTGGGTTTTACTTATTTATTTGCATGAGCTACTTTTAATGAACAACAATTAATGAAGAAACAATTAACTTTGTTCTTCCTCTTTTTAACACTACTTTATACAACCACCTTCTTCCTCTGTTACTTTCTCTTAACTGACCAAATTCTCTCCAAAAATGCCCAATCATACCACACCGCGACACACAAAATTATAGGGAAATGTGAGATTCCTTCAAATGAACTACTTAAAACTTTAATTCTCTAGCAGATTCAAGTTGACACATTTGGAAAAATTAGGGTAACGTTTCAGAACTATTTAGTGGACAACCCACAGGATATGGGATGGTAATTTTCTTGGTGCATGAATATAATATTTATAATTTAAATATGTACATAGTCGGGTACGAAATTCTTTGATAAACGTTTTTTAATGCAGAAAAATAACGGGTAACAATTTTTAATTAAAATTTTCCACATGGATGCATAATATACCTGTGTATAATATAAAAATACTAAATATCCAAATTTCCTCTCCTGGAGTACACACGCTTGAGAAATCTGATGGACGGCCGGTCGCTTGGAGCACGCGCGGTTTCTACCGGAAAATGGTCACAAGCGTTGAGAAACAAAATTTGAGAACATCTGCACCAGTGGAAGTTTTAGAGCAGGCCATGGTCTCAATTTTAAGCCTCAAGTCATAATCCAGATGATTAAGGTCTGCTATTACCGATGGCATTTTTGTGACTAAATTAAGTCGATGAAATGAGCTCATAGTCAATTTTGGACAATTTTTGCATCATATGGCTGAGCCTTGACCTTTTAAGAAATTCAGTTTCTATTTTTCAATAGGCCGGACTTCAAAGGTTTTACACTAAGTTTTGCAACTTTGGTAATGTAATTCTTGGCTTGCGCTGTAACCCTTTCTAGAGAAAAACGGGGTTTCGCTTTTTCCAGGAGATTAATTCAAATTCAAACCATCAAAGACTTAGGGGGATGAGATCTTCGACGTTTTCTATTTGCCAGGGGTATGTATGATTTTTGCTTGGTGCAAATTCTTTAATTTTCCTTGTTAAATTTACGCAAGGCTTGGGATAAGTTTCCACAGAAAACCGCGCATGCTCCAAGCGACCGGCCGTCCATCAGATTTCTCAAGCGTGTGTACTCCAGGAGAGGAAATTTGGAAAGGTAGTATTTTTATATTATACACAAGTATATTATGCATCCATGTGGAAAATTTTAATTAAAAATTCTTACCCGTTATTTTTCTGCATTAAAAAACGTTTATCAAAGAATTTCGTACCCGACTAGGTATATGTCAACAGATAAGTAGATTTTGCGAAATTACTGTTATTTTATATCTCTGATCAACATGCAATATGCATGAATGCACGATTAAATAATCTCAGACATAATATGGAGACATAATATCTCAGACATAATAATCTCAGACATAAATATTTACATAAGATCGATATGATGATACTTATATGTAAATTGCAAACTCGAATATTTGAATTGGTTTTCTAAAACAAAAATTATATAAGGCAAGCTTGCAATTAAGCGCATACCAATAACACATAGAGAAGCGAATCCAAAAAATTCTTAATTGTTACACGTAACATGATAAGTTTCCTCTTCACTTTTTTCTCAGATTTTCTTGCAATGTAAAATACATATGTTAAAACTGTGGCGTATGCACTACCAATATGACCTTAAGCTTCGATTATTACAAGGATCCATCGAATTTTTAAACCGCAGATGCGAAAGATTTTCCGATCACCCGTAAGTGGATTCGGAATGTCGGCACTGTTAAAAATCTGTTACATTCACGTGGATACTACGTTCAGGTCTTGATTTGGTAATAATACCCTACCGGATTGGTAGTAAATTGTTCCTGAGTGGTAAATTTTTCATTGCTGCAGCATTACTGAACGGTAATTCCCGTAAATACGAGTGCCAGTAGAGTTATATGTGTTCTCCGGTCGGTAATCCTTTAATACCAGTTTTCTAAGAGTATGTATGAGATACCAGGTGGGAAAGTATGACTCGGTGAAAAATTGTCACAAAATGAATACCACCATACATATAGTGTATATGCGACTTCGCTACATTTTTAATAGTGTCAGTAATGGGCAGGTAGACCCCCTCCCCCCAGGATTAATAAATCCTTTATTAGAATAATACCAAATGGTAAAGTTTTACTAGATCGATAGCAAATGTTTGGAGAAGTATAATTTTATATACAAAGCCATATGTAGAAACCTTTAAATCGAGAAATCAATACTTACAATTACGTGACTACAAGGGTTTCTAGCAATGTGCATATGTATGTATTCGTTTTTCCAACAAGATATAAATAAAGTATGAAATTTTCACTCAAAGCCCTTTTTCCTTAGATGTTGTCGCAACATTTGCCCAATTTCCCATTACTTTGAACCGATGAACCATTTGCATTTCGCTTATGTAAACTATAATAATTTTTGCGAATGGACCAATAATTTAGCGCATGGGTTTACAAAGTGTCGAAATTCATCCTACTTTTTAAGTTTTCGAAGCAAACTTATTTCAAGGGTGGAACGTTCGAAGGATACATACATATGTATATCAGAGACCATTCATATTACCCGTTATCCGGTAAAATAGTATACTCTGCAGTTCGAAAGACGTCGATCTACATACATGCATTAATATTAATTTCGTACATAAATACATATGTACGCAGACCTGAAACGGGAAATAATTTCGTGAAACTGATTTCATTGGAGATATATACCCAAATTTCGTCATTTCATACACTATCATAATGCCGTGTGTATCTATTTAAATGATCAGTTGTTATCTCAATTCAATGTGTTCCTACGTAAATGATGTTCAACACTTCATTTGTGTACGTAGGTATGTAAATACACTGTAAAAAATCCGATGGAATTACTGGTATTGATGTGGTAATACTTTCTAAACGGGTTTGTAGTAGTTTTTTATTTTCTGAGTGGTCAGTTTTTCATTACCACGCCATTACTAAAGGTTACTTATGTAAGAAGTAAGGATATATTGCCCTCGCAACTGGGGAAATAAGCATGATAAATTTATTCAACCTTGCTTTCCACGTTATTTTCCTTATCTTAAACGTTCCCAGAAATTTGAATAATTCACAAGCAATGGCGGCAAAACCATACCACTTACCCTATCTGAACGATCTGCTGACCCCATTCTCCCAGTGTTTGATACATTTAATAAATTACAAACATTTAAATATTCCCGAACCCAGGCTACCAATAGTTGTTGAAGGTTACCACCTCAAAAATTCAGGCCAGGAACGCTTCTTACTACTAGAAGAAAATCTAACACGTCGCCAGATAGACAGCTTCCGGTGGAAGTGTGTTTTTCACGGATTTATGTTTCCTGAGATGTCAAAAAGCTCGAGCAAATTTAAATGTACAGCGTACTACAAGGAGTATTGGACCGGAGCTATTTCTGAAGATGCATCATCAAATCTATTCAGGCATCGGGATTATTATATTTATTTCACGAATGTAAAATCCGTTCGAGATTGGCCGAGGTGGGCGAGAGGAATCGAATCAGCGCTAGACTTTGAAGGTACGTATATGTACGATAAGACAATACCGTACACTGCAAAAATCTGGTTTGGTAATAAATTCTTACCGGATTGGTGGCACTTTGTCCCTGAGTGATAACGGTAATTTCCGGCAGTACCAGTACTGGTATGTAAGTAAATACCTAATCCGACAGGTGATGATTTCAACCTAGTTTTCCAAGAGTGTATTAAGGGCTGATAACTTACTTAATTATTTGTTTAGGACAATCACACACAGGAATCGTTTATATCTCTAAATCAACCCGACTACCTAAGTGGTTCATCTCTTGTCGGACGTGTCACCCTAAGAAGTTCACCTTCCATCCGTACATTCCCTCACGTAGACAAAAATCTGTTACGGAATCCTTTCAAAAATACGCCAGCACTATTCATCCCGATAAGAAGTTTGTAATTTCTGATGAACCTGCCGAAAATAAGCAATCGCAGATAATGTCGCCATACCCTAGCGTCGATATCTTAACATTTTCCGCCATTTACCCCAATAATACCTACATTTTTCAGGTTTCAGCCCATTTCACCAGAATATTTGGTGCTGAGCCACAGAAAATTATAATTGTTATAAACCAACCATCTCAGGCGCCTGACATGCACATGTGGCGGAGTTCATATAGATTTTTAACGTGCGACGGATTACTTCAAAGGGAATCGAGCGGGCCCAAATTCGTTAACCTGGTTTCTGCATACCGCATGGAAGCGTGGCTTGTTTTATTGAGTTTTGCCTTCATTTCTGCCATAGTTTTAAAGTTAATTTTTAACTTTGGCTACATTGAAGGGATACTTCTTCCTTATGCTTTTCTGCTGGAACAAGGAGTTTCCATGCCGCCATCTAGCGGCAAGCTATTTTCAGCTATTTGCACCTTGACACCATGGCTTTTAATGGGCATTGTTCTAAGTAATGGGTACAAGGGAAATAACGTGACAGACTTAATTGCACCATTGGCAGGAAGACTGATATCAACGTTTCAGGATTTATTGAATTACAATTATACAGTGTATGTCCCAGTGATCGAATACTATGACCACAAGCGTGATATATTTTTTGAGGAGGACTCCGGTGCAGATTCCAGGCTGCATCACTCCTTCTATTTGTATACAACTCACCTGAAAGAGTCCGAGATTAGTTATTGCCACAAGAAAATTTTGGCCATGATAAAACATTTATTATTAAAAATATTTTTGATAAGAAGAAAGCACAAGATAACACTATTAGATGGAGTTTTGTCCTGTAACAAATCAGCTATTGTGGTTTATGGCAATGAAATTGATGAGTATGAAGCCCAGCTGAAATTCTTGCGACCAAAGTCACACATAGTGAAAAGTAAGGATGAATTATTTCAGGAAGAACTCGGATGGATGGTATATTTCGGGTTGGATACAAAACTAGAGGAGAGATTCAAATCCTTGTTTCAAGCCGGGATGACGAATTATTGGCGAAAATATGTAAGATCGTTGAGAATGCAGGAGTTTAATATGCTGAACCGAGTCGGCATTAAAACCTGGGAATCCGATAATGGGTTGATGATGGGAGGAAATTTTGTGGTTGTGTTTTATCTATACGGAATTTGTATTTTGATTTGTGCCTTTGCACATGGAGTTGAGCAGGTTTGTAGAATTTTCAGTGGACGGAGTAAACTGTGTGGTAAATTATGTATTTTAAACTTTAAGTACGCAGATGTGCATAATCTCTGCTGAATGTGCAAATGGTGGAAATCATTTGTGAATTTTCTAGTGGGCTAGCTTTATATTCCTCTTGTAAGTGCGTTCACATATGTATCTACAAAATTCCCTAGTTTAATAAATACATGCTTAATTTCTCAATGCAAAATATTGCGAAATCTAAAAAAACTTTATTCAGTTATCTTGTTGGTCAGTTTTTCAAGAGACGTGGAGTGCTATATCCCATACACAGACAACAGAGAATTATGAACCTTGGTATTACACTCGGATGGTAAATGATGTTGATGGACATCATCTTAATTGAACAAAAAAAGTTCATCGTCGACAAGTATTTAAAGTTTTTGGTGTTCTAATAAACAGGTCTGATTTTCTGATACAGAAAATATCTTATCTTAAAATCTTATCTTAAAATCCATATCTTCAAAGGGGCCATTCAACGGAATGATAAGCGCCACGTTATTCCTTATTTTTGATTTGATTTTTTTATATCTCGTTAGACAATCCCTGTGTAACTTGAAAAAGGTTCCATGGTTAGTACCAGATTGCTAACAGTGTACATATATTTACAATGGGGTGACAATACAAATGTCATGCACTGACCTTATGTCCTAGATGTTTGTCACACGGACAAACTGGGGGATAAATAGTATGCGCATTACCAATTCTTACACTAAAAAATACTGCCGATGGTCTAGTTAATTTTTTATTTTAAATTTAAGTTATTTCAGGTTCGGAATTTCAACATATTTGAGTTCAAGGTTATCCCAATTTTTTAAGAGAAGCAAATATTATCTTAAATGTCCTTCTTGGAAAAGATATCTCGTCGCATTACGCGCTATGATGACAATCTGGACCATTTTAGTCGGAATAATATTAACAAATTGGTACAAAAAATGCTTCACAATGGAGATGATGATCCCCACAAGGTACGAGTCACCCTGGAAAAGTGTTATGGACATAGAGGACATTAAAATTCTACTGCTATTCAACCTTCTAGACCAATACGAATCCCACCTCTACCAATTTATAGGATTTACCCTTCAAAGTGATTATTTTCGGTACCAGTTTTTCTTCAATGAAATTCTAGTGCGGTCCCAACCACTTGCAGAAGAATATAGAGGATCTAAATGAAACGCAGTTTTCCAGAAAATGGCGCAGCGTCTGGTTAAAATGATCAGGTCTGGTACTGAGGGGAGGTATTATGGTAATGGGACGTTTTCGATTTACGAATTCAAATTTGATCGGCCACCCTACAATAAAAGTACATTAAGTGAGTGTCCGACCCAGCCAGTTTCATATGCGGAGCGAGACAATATAATTGTTAAAAGATTATCGACTTGTGGTAAAGTTGCCTTGATGGATACAAAAGAGAATACTATGGCGAATACGAAATTTTTAAATGATAACACGGAAAATATAAGAAATCTAAGATGAGGAAGACACGTATTTTTCAGCGACACGAGGTTGGCCGATACCACCAGTACGACAGAGTTACGTGGAGCAACGACTCAAAATGATGGTAACATCGGGAATTTTTGCACATTGGGAAACTTTGTACAAACTATGGAAGCCAGTCAAACTTTTGGGACATTATGCAAATTGGACGCATCCAAGATTAGATGCAATATCAAAATTGGACTTTAATTCGAAAGTTGTAACGGGATTTTATGTGGGTGGGGTTTGTTTGGCGATATGTGGTTTCGTCTTTGTTCTGGAATTTTGCTGGTTAAATTGTAAAATTTATGCACAATTTTACTCTTCTGAAATTTAGTTTACTCTTTTGCTACATGAAGTCAAATTTTTGTATAAATATGCGTTACACCCTGAAACTTGGAAAAAATATATTTGTAGTAAATTATTTAAATGTTACAAATTAATCAAGTACGAACAAAATTGCTGGACTAATTTGTAAATAAATTTGTCAAGAATTTTGAAATTTTCCTGGTCAGGGACATATCTAAAAATGTTTAATGTTTAAATGTTTAAAAAAAATTTGTAAATCGAAGCAAAATTGGATTTTTAGGGAAGGTTTAAAGTAGTGAAAATATGCCATTTTCAGTATTTTTCAGACATAAAGGGCCTGAAGGATGCCATGATCCAGGTTTCAGGTCTTTAATGTAACTGTTCATAAATTAGAGCGCGAGCAGACAGGCGAATGAATAAACGGACGGACGGATAGACAGGACCATGTTATATAAGGGTTTCAATTTCATCTCAATAAACGAGACAACTACGTGTCAAAATCTGTAAATATATGCAGTCGGATAATACAGTAGCCAGATTATTGATAACATCTAAAAAGTTGAATAATATCAATTTTAATGTGAGTGATAATTTTTATGCCGATTTGGAATTAATCAAATTTTCTAGAATTATTAAAAATATGCGGTTAAAACAATGATCTTCTTTGTATTCATTTTTGGTACTTTGACGTATGAACTTCTCGAATTTAGAAATTTTATAGGTTTACAATATGCATTATTAATAATTATCCAGATTTGAATGGTGTAACATCTGGGTTCCTTATCGGATAGAAATATCCATGCAATTCCTGTAGTATTGGTTGGATCCTTCTCCGAACCAAGACCATTGAAGGACACATCGACTGCAAGTGACGCCCGCGGGGAGGACAACGCTTGTTTGACCGTTAAGAAGTTCTCGGGTTGACCCATGACCAAAACGGAGCAAGTGTCGATTGAAGCATTCCTCAGATTCAACACCAGTCTCACTGTAGGGGCAAAGTCGGAATTCATGCCAGCCTCGATGATCCACAGCGATGACGATTTCAATTGGGATTGTCTGTTTGAGAGATAAAAATATAATTAGTCTTAAGTCGCCCCCGGGTAGTCGGGGTAATGGGAGATTTCTCGACTTTGATAATCTTACCTGTCCGACAGTGTAATTTCGTACGATGAGTCCTCTATCAAACTCGCCTATAAATTTTAAGATTTGGAGTTATATAACGATACTACTAACCACCGAATTTTGAAATAGAGGTGATACCACAACAATTATAATCAAGCTTTAAAGTCAATTTTCCACTTTACGAAGGGTTTTATCACCAGGTTATTAATTTTGAAAATTTTTAAAACCGAATTTTTACAAATGTAGGTATAAACTTTTTATTTTTCTTAACCTTCCTTCAAAATTTCCAGCAATGCTTATTTAATAATTTTTCTGAAATTTTTACTATCGAGAAATTTGGCTACCATTGATTGACCTTACCTCCGATTTCATGCTTTCTTGGTCTAGGATCTAGAAGACTGTCACCACAAAGACCACACGCCCCAACGTACGGATCAGTCACCTACAATTAATAATTTTAATTGCATAAATAATCCAATTAGTTTTTTTTTTAAATTTTCAGTCAAATTTCTACTTTGAAAACAAGTTATTCAAAATATGCACATTTTACGTACGTCTCGTCCACCACAAAGAAGCTCTTGGTCGTCAGCTTGATGTCCCGGATTGGCCCACGCGTACTCAGGTTCTCTCCAAAGGGACCCTCTCGTCGGTGGGTTTAGTACTCGACCATGACTGCTAACTTGGCCAACACCCATGACCCCAAGAATGAGGCAGACTGCCCCTACAACTTTAAGAGGTGTCATTCTATCCAAAGAAATTGTACTTTTCGAACGTATTAATAATCACTCGAAACTGCAAACCCAACTAATTCCAACTCTGTGCCGGACTTTATTTATATTGAGCAGGAATATTCACCCGAACTGCTTGTCTCTTAAATTCTCAAGGGTGGAGATTACGCTGTGATGATAACGAGTCGATAGATGCACTCTTAAAAGTAATGTTAACCGTTGGAAAAGTAAATGCACTGTCAATTTGTACAGTTGCCGCGGACATCTGGCCCAGATGTCCGCGTAATTTAGTGCTGTTTGAAGAGGATCCGTGAGAAACACGTCTGACATGTGCATTGTTAGTTGTTCGTGGAACTTGTAACCTAACAGATGCCTAACAAAACTAACCTAACCTAAGATAACCTAACGAAAAATAGATGTGGCCAAGGTATTAAAAGAAATTATAATTTTTTTATGAAACTTTTCAAGTAAGCCCGAATGGCCCTACCCCTTCGGGGCCCGGCCCTGGGGAAAGTACCCATCCCGCAGCTACTCACTGGGGACATTAACATTGCATGGTACTGGTGTGGGGGGAAGGGGGTCATATAACATGCGGAGATGATGTGCATATGGAATAACTGTGGGGACATTGCTCTTCTTCCCTACCCTTCCGCGGCCACTGATTCTGCACAAAATAAACTATGCTAAATCCATAGTCAAGTTAACTTAATAAGAAGCAAAGTTTACTCTGGATTTGGTGCAGTTTATATACATAACTTATAATTCAAAGTGCATCTATGTACTTTTCAAAATCGTATAACCATTTTTAAGAGTGCACCGTCAAACAATGCAGAAATAGTTCCACTTTAACCACGGCATAATAAATTAAACGGGACTTGCTTTGCATACACAAACTTGTGACCATTAAGTGGATGCATGGTCGCATGGCATGTTTTCGATATGATTTGCACCCCATTCTAGAAGAGGTGGTGAGTGCCTGCAATGATTGATTCATCTTATTCAGGAATGTAATCCGTGTTAGCGGGTGCAAAATTGTAATAATAATAGATAATAAATCAATCAATTAATTCTATTTGCACTATTGTGCAAGTATTTAAGTACACATCGCAAATGTAATTAAGACTCTAATTTAATCAAGCATTTAGAATGTGCTCATAAAATAAGGAGAAGGAGTGGCCGCCCCAAATTGGACTTGGAAAGTTAACACAATGTATAAATTTAGAATAAAGATAGAATTAATGAGTTCAATGAATTTATTTTTCTGGTTAGTAACCCCTATAGATTTACAACTTTGCACTTAGCACTTGTAGCACGTATTACATGCACACTTACTCTACAAGGTCAAGCTAGTAGATTTCGGATAAATATCACTTAAAAATAATGTTACTCTTTCGAAAAGTAAATCCGCTTTATATTATGTAAACTCTACTGAATCCAGAGTAAATTTTACTCTTTATCCAGTTAATGCTACTCTAGATTATAGTTTTTATAATGTAGAATTAATTTTAAAAGTGTCTTAAACTCTCATAAAGGTAACGTTATTTTTAATAGCACGGATATTTGTTTATGTATGTATTTGTGCTCTATTTGTATTTGTGCAGGATTATCATGTAGTTTCCATGTACATGTATTACATAATACATAAACTTGTGATGCTCAACGTTTGCATAAGTTTGTCATTGCTTTGTCACTTAATTTAAGTTTATTTATTTATAAATTTATAAGTTTCTTAAACCGTATATGTATGCAAATGTAAAAACTCTTTCACTCCGTTGGCAAAGAATATGTATATGTAAAGAAACAAGTGGTCATAATTACAAGCAAAAAGCACGATAAATACATGCATACAGAATGCATACAAATGTACATACAAATATGTACATGTTGCACAAAAACCCTGGAAAAATATGCAACAGGCGTCCAGTCCACACAAATCCTAATTACGATTTGATACGAATGAACAGTATGAAAGAAGGGACCGTTCAGTAATAACAGAATTATATTAGTCCTATGTATAAGGTCTCATTCATTCGCTTAAATAGTATTCTTAATCAACAATTTCAACTAGGATGCCAAGGGTCCAATTTTTGGAAAACAATATAACATCCTTAATGACGGGACCGATCCTCAGATAAGTATGCAAAATTGCATACATCCACGCGCACCCGGTCCAGCCCCGATGCAATTTAAGAGATGAACGTTTCTGGTGTCAGCCTCCTTGCCGAACTAATTTGACCATGGGGTATCCATCCCAGCTTAACTTCTGGATCTAACTACCGATCCATTTGCATAAATGTATACATACTGAAACGTTATGGTTGGATGCAATTTTTGCGAAAATTATTGGCAACCTTGCCCACATTGGAACGTTGTGATTCTACTTGTGCAAAATCATGTCCTCGACTCTTCAGTCCTTTGCCACCTTTTAATGGAGTAACAACACTTCGCTTCGTTCCTGAAGTAAATTGTAAACGGGGGGTTCAAGTCAAGAACGGTTAGACGATCGGTATGTAACTAATTATGAAAAATAATGAAATAAATTCGAATCGAATTATGCACTCCTAAATATTTTGTATATTTAGGTTTGAAAGATTGTAAAGTTTAACGTCTCCCCCCGGAACTGTGTAACTAAAAACCGGCACGAATAAACAATTTGGTAAATTATGCACGATATATTTATGAAGTATGTATGTAAATGTGTAAAGCAAAAATCCCCATGTAGCGACGCATCCGAAATCGATTTTAATTAAAGCCCGTTGAGAACCGGTTTTCGATATAACTGAAAACCTGTTTCATATTTCTAAAAAAAATTAAAAAATGGTTTAGGAACAATACCGTTTTAAATTTGTTCTAAAAACACTTGAAAACCGGTTTTAGATTTTTGACAAAAAATAATAATTTCTGACCTTATATTTAATTATTTTATTATTGTGCATTTAGATAAAAATTAGATCATTGTTCTGAAATACCATATTCGCCAGTTTGTATTTATTTATTTATAATTTTGTTTCAAGTTTTAACTTACACCCATTCTATATTTGCAATTTTTTTTTTGTGAAACCGGTTTTGCACTGATTCGACAATCGGTTTACTTAAATTTTCAAAAAATCTGATTAATCGAAAATCGATTATATAAAATTTTGAAAAACTGTAACAATCAAAAACCAGTCTTATAAAAGATTTAAAAATTGTAACAATAGAAAACCAGTTTTTTTAAATCTTCCAACCGGCGCATCCACCTGTATAAATATTTAAAACTAAAATACTTACATAAATATTTAAAAATAGCCTTTTTTTTTGATGAATTCGATTCCCCCATCCGGGTCGTGTATGTATGCTTTTTTGCGTTAAAAAAAATTGCTGAGTAAAATTAATGAGAGAACTACGTACTAAGAATTTAAACGTTCTTACAAATTTTTAAAATCTATCTATTAGGATTGAGAAATGGAGGATTTGGACAACGTGGGTGGTTCCGATTTCCAACGATTTCTGCTAGACTTTGGAACCATTCAATTAACCATTCCGATAGAAGACCACGTCGTGGGAACAGGATCTGGGTTGTCTCCTTTTGAGGGGGAAGTTACCATTGCTGGAATAGATGACATCATCCCAGTGGAATTAGAACAACAACGTCCCTCTTTGGAAGATAACTCCTTATCATCATCATGCGAGTCATCACCAGTTGATCAAGCCTCATCGCTACCACCACCGAAAAGGAGGGGACGTCCACCCAAACTAGATAAGCCCAGGCCAGTTAATCCACCCCGAGTAAAAGCGTATGAATTACCACCAACCACAAAACCCATCCGAAATGCGATTACTGCTCGGAAAAACCGCGTCTTGGCGAAGGAGCGAGAACAAGCCAAAGATGAAGAAATTTTGAGATTGCGTAACATCATTAAAGAGCAAGCAGTACGACTTTCGGATTACGAGAAACGATTCCAGAACATCCTGGAAAACGTGTTGAGCGGTTAAACCAAGAAAAGTTGGGACGAAATTGAAATTACAACGTTTCAGGTAGCAAACAGAAAAAATACAAAAAACCCAAAAAAATTGAAAAATCATAAAACCATAAAACCACAAGTAAGCAAGCAAGCGAGCAAGTTATAAACAATTGAACAAATACACAAGCAAGCACACAAGCAAGTTATAAACAGTTAAACAATTAAACAAATAAACAAGCAAGTACGCAAGCAAGTTATGAACAATTGAACAAATAAACAAGCAAGCAAGCAAGCGAACAAAAAAAATGTAACAATGATGCAAACAAGCAAACGAAAGAAAAACATTCAAACCAGCCACAAGCAACTCGGATAGATAAAGTATCAAAGTTGATAATCCCATGATAACTCAATACTTCGATAATCGACAGCATTTACATCAGAATTTAATCAAAAAAGGACTCGATTCAATTCTGCTGGATATGCGGCCGACCGTCTGAACTCATTGATTATGTGAACCGACGCCTTTACACGAATGAAGTAAGAATTTTGGAATTTCGAAAAAAAAGTAAAAGTCTTACGTATATATTTTGTCGAAAAACACAATATCCACTTACTTCAAATTTAGGAAACGGAAAAGAATAATTGTTATGTCAAGTCATACATAGTCATAAAAACTTAAATAATCCTTTATTAAATTGTTATGTCAAGTCAAGTCAAGTCATGTATGTAACTGTTAATTAAATTGCCAAAACTAATGAGTTAATTTATGTAACTGAAATTACCGGACGGAATTATGATTATGACATTTATAATTTATACATAAAGTGACTATTCCATGTTAATGATTTGTATGTACATGTGTCTGGTTACACTCTAAATAAAATTCTATACAATTTTCTCCAGTTACTCAACTTGGGGTAAATTTTACACAACTTTATTTAGAGTGCAGTAAGAAAATAAATTTCAGTTTTTGTCCCTATTTGGTAAAACGAATTTTTTGTACATCATTTTTACCATTTTATTTTAACAAGGGTTGGGGGATGGCCATAAATTGTGTCATTACTTTTGAGACCCTCCCTTCCCCCTTCTCATATGTTGCAGCTTCTTTTCACATGTGACACAAATGCCCTAAGAAACACTTGATGGAAACCAAGCCAAAAGTACCACAACTCCTGTTTCCATATTCAGCGAGAAAGAGAGAAAAACTCCGATTCTGGTGGTTATCCACCACCGTTGACGTCAGGGGCGTATCCTCTACACTTTATCTCTCTCTCACTATGTAAACTTTGGATCTCACCAATTCTCAATTAATTAACCATTCAGGATTAATTAAATCATGGCTTATCAAAATCATGATAACCCTTTAATTTTTGCAGAAGCTTTTAATTTGGGGCGAATTGAGTAAAATATTCGGTTATCTGAAAAATAGATAAGAATGACCATAACCCCTGTAACATTAATTTTGAATTAGAAATCGTCATTACAAATTAAGATAAGCATAAATTTTCAAGTTTAGTGCGATTTTGATGAACGAAATTTGCATATCTTGAAAATAGATAATCAAATTGATAAGCCCCGTAGCTCTAATTTCAACTGTAAATATATCATTGTTATAAACTCAAGACAAGCTGAAGATTTTAAGTTGGAAAAATTTGGACGAACGAATTTTACTTCACTGAAAATTTGATAAGCCTCGAGATAATCTTAGTGTCCACTTTAGAGTGGATGTAATGTAACTACTAACCCTCGAATAGGGAGCGTTACACTATGTACAATTTTAAATTTAGGGTGAGTTGGCAATTTAGTTTTAGATATTGCCAATTTTCATAACTTCGGTACTTCCATTTATATATCTCATTAGTGGCTTGCTACGGCTCTTGCCTTATAAGTCACTCCCACAGAAACTTTGATAGCAAAAATCTCCATGTTGCAAAACTTTCTCTTCAGACAACAAAAGCTTAAAATGTTGGTTTTTTGAAGTAGAAAAATCTGGCATTAGGTTGTCAGAAGAGAAAGTTTTGCAACACCGAGTTTTTTAGTGATTTCCACGTAGGTAAAAAAACCGCCAATTTTCGAATTTTGAAACTTTTGATGCACCAAAATGTCTGTATTCATGGGGGAATTCAAATGTCAAATACAAGTTGAGGTCTAATTATTGTTGTACCGCGTGTACATTAGCTTTCTCATTGTCCCCAATTTATTTTCTCAATTTTTGAAAGGGGGGTGGTTGAAGATAATTCAAAAATAGCTATGCTACAATTAAGTTTAATCCCGTATTTGTATTTACAATTTTTTTTTGTTTAATTCGGTGAAACCGATGCGAAATGGATGTGTACTTTTGGCTTGGTTTCCATCACTTGTACCTTCCCCCCGGGTTAGGGGGGAAGGTATGCATTAAGAAATGCATACAATTTATTTATTTAATCAATAAATAATCCTTTCTGACCCAGCACATTTGATGACATCCATACTGAAGCACCCCTACCCGAGGAATCTCGTATCATTTTCCCCGAGCGGGTTCCAGTCACAACCAACCTAACATCTGTATTTCTCGTTTCGCTCACTTACATTCACATTGCTCACAACACCTTTAATTTTAATTACAATTAATTAAGCCATAAGTGTAATTCCACAATTAACCAGTATTTACAAGGATGGATGCAGGGCTTGCTGAAAGCGTAAACTTCTTGTATCAACAACTCACCATTTTACAGGAATTTATTCAGCACAAATTTGGTAAAACATTTACAAGCTTTTCTTTCGCAATGTTAAATTGCTAAATTTGTTACTAAATTCATAACAAATCGAAACAATACACGTAATTATCAAATTACCATTTAATTTACTCGGCCTGGTTATGAATAATTGACTACGTTTGAAATATTAAAATGCAAATGAGGACTTGCGTTAAACATTTTTTACTATTTTACTTCACTCCTCGGTGAATGGGTATTCAAGGGTATTCATTATTCGTTTCGTATCCTTCATTTTGAAAAAAAGTTGAAAATATTGAAATTGGAAAATCAAAATTTTGAAAATACTTTATGCTAATTCTGAATAGGTTCGGAATACAAGGATTTCGAGCAGTTGAAACTCTCAGGGCCCACCTCCCCCACAGCATCGAATGGAAATGGGCCACTGTTTGAATATAAGTATGAGGGGGACTCCGACCAGGTCGAGGACAATTCGCCCTGGGGGGAAGGAAGTTCAACCACCCCGGACGACGGTTTTATGATAGACCAGGCGGATGTCGAGGTCGAGATAGAAATCCCCCAGAACGAGGGGGACGACCAGGAGTACAAGGTCATCACGTGGGATCCGGTCAGCCTTGACCCCGATCCAATCCAGGCAGGATCGTCCTTTGGCCAAGTGGGTCACGTGGTGCTAGGTGGGAGATTTGTTAAAAAAATATATTTGAATTAATTAACCTCTTCAGACACATTTGTGCAGTATTTTGTTTTCCGTTGATGTCATCAACTTGATGAAGAAATGCACAAATTTAACCCTGACACCAAAATTTCTAAAAAAGAGTATTTCTTTGTGGAAAACTCGATGGTAAAAAAATGTATTTTTCCATATTTTCCTCTCAAGTTTTCGAGTTTTCCTCGGGTAACAAAGTGGATTTTTCGTGTTTTTCGTTAAAAAAAACTTCCTAAATTGGAAACTGGTTGAAAACTTTAATCAGGTGTACTTATGAAGTTGAAGGGAACTTTTTGTAAAAAAACATCCATAGTACAAAAGAGGTTAAAATTAATTTTCCTACTCTTATTCTCCAGGGAGACCGGTCGATACTCGTTCGCAGAAATCAAAACGGAAGTACAAGTCCACAAGACAAGTAACAAAACCCCCCGTCACCAAAGGATCGTGCGACTACTGCGGAGAAAAAAACGGTCGGAACCCGACCCACATTCTGGAATGTCATAGGGAGATGTGCGTCATAACGAAGGGGGCGGATGGGGGGGACGTCGTCAAGGGGTATCTCTGCCCACGGAAAAACTGCTCGAGAAAGGGGCGACCCCTCTACAACCATTACCAGGTCGAAGTTCATCTCAGGTGGCCGTGTGCGAGTTAACGAAGTGGGGGGGGGATTATGTATATAATTTCGTTAGTATGGGAAAGTTAATAAAATATGTAAAGTATCGAAGATCAACATGTTAACAAAATCGCCAATTTTTGCGCTACCTATTTTATGAACGTTCTCTGTGATTCAGGATATTTTAAGCTACTTATATATTTAAAAGAGTTATATTTTTGCGAACGTGTTTAATTTTAGTTTGTCATCTTTAAAGCGAGGTGATTTTGTATGTTAATTTACAAGAATTAAATATTTACATATTTAGGTATTTTATTTACATTTCAAATGTGTTACATTTCCAATGATATGCTTTTCTTTTGGTTCTAAGGAAATACTAACATGTGTAATCTCAAATTGGGATTAAATCCCCTCTGGCGAGAGCTTATTTTTATGAAAAGATTATTTTCATCTAAAATTTAATAAAAGAAAACACCAAAGTTATTTCTTTGACTATGCGGCTCGTACTATTTAAATCTTGGTTGCAAAATTTATTGCAAGTATTATTTGGTTTAAAAAAGTGAACATATTAGGAGATTTCAAGTTTTTTGTGGTGGGTAAGTACTTACATACTCATATGCATATTTACTTACTTTTTAATTTTACGCAGTTTAATAAAATCTTGAGGTGCGGAAAATCAGCAAATTGAGATAATGGCGAAAATTTCATATAAGTCTTGAAATGTGATGCATTCATTCTCTTTGTTCAACCAGCTGGAGGAAATTCAGTCTCACTTTCACACGACTCACTTCTGGCACGAGTTTGAGTCCATTTGCTCAAATTCTTTTTTTCCAGTTTTTGTCGAACTTAATAAATACAAAATAAATTAATTTAATGGTGACGACAACAATTGACCAATTATAACTTTAAGGTGAGTGCAGTTGGAAAATTATTCAACTCTCTCTTGTAATATGACCAGGGCACATGATTAATTCCAATTATTAATGTAGTTAATAATTTCTGAACCAGAAATTATGATTTATTTCTGAGAGGACGAATTTATTAATTTGTCACTGATTGATAAATCACGCTATTTTCTAAATATTACCAAATCCAAGTGTTACATAATTTCGATACATTTTCCTTTCTGGTTCGAAATTCGGAACATTTGTATAATTAAACAATCAAGTTAGTTTTTTTTCTTCAATTTATAGATGACAAGTTGTGGAATGTGGATGGAGTTACACTTGAGCATCAATTAGTTGAAAGATAACACGTAAGATTCAGCACATTTAAATGCAATTTATGCAAATTTATTTTATAAGTGTGGACAAGTTTGTAGAGCAGGTCGTTGCAAATTAAAAAATATACACTCCGTATTTTTTTGACGGTTTTTGAAGGAAGAGATAATCTCCTGGAGATTTCACGTTCAAAAACCCTTCAGAAAAATTGGAACTCATCGAGACAGGCTTAAAAAACTCACTGCGATTCTATCAAAGAACAAATTTATCGTCCAAAATTTTAAAATAAATTCCCTGAGCGGCGAAATGATTTTAAAATGTACTGATTTTGACGATAAGTCATCGAGTCCAATGTTAAATAATAATTTTATCTTTGTGCAGAGATTTATTAGTCGTGGACCGCTCCAAGTATGGACCAGGCATCACTTGATTTTGGTCAACCGACCGACGTCATGGGATTTGGTCAGTTATCCGGCGAGATAAGCAATGTTGATGCTCCTCCTCCCCCAAAACCGAGGAAACGTCCCCGACGCCTAACCCCCGAGGAGAAGGCGGTCATGCTAGAAAAACGAAAAAAGGCCATCCCCGAAATCCTCGGCCCCCTCGTGGAAATCTCCGTAGAAAACGGGATCTACATCTGCGTCACGTGCGGTTTTAGTACTGGGTCGCACTACAAGGAAAATTGGAGACGAGTACAAATTATTAAGATGCACATCAGAACGAAGCATTTAAGTAAGTGGAGAAATATTTAAATAGGTGTGCATTCAAATTTTAAATTTTAACTTTTGTCCCATTTTCAGACGCTTATCGATGTCATTTGTGCGAAAAGAAGTTTCTCAGTAATAAAGGGTAATTTTACTTGATTTTACAGTAGTGTAATCGGATCCGAGATCGAATCGGATTCGGGGTTTCGGGATTTTGTGACGAGTTATGTAAAAAAAATCAAGTAAAATTAAGTAAAAAATTAGGACTCATGTGACACTTATCTATTTAATTATCAAGTTTACTTATTTTTCGCCCAGTGGAGGAAAAGTGAGTAAATTTACTAAAAAATTGAACTTTATCGCCAATATTTTCTTCCAAAGGGGCATTCAACGGAAAGATAACTTATCTTAGGTCTTAGATAAGGGCCACATGAGTCCTAATTGTTTTGTCAAAAATTTTGACTCGATTTTTTGACTCGCTACAAAATCCCAAATCAACCTTAATCAAATTTCCTATGTAGTTAAGCTTTCTCATTAAAGTTACCAGCTTCACCTGAGAACGATGCATCCCCCCGAAGACCTTACGTCCCTCCATCTTTGCAACATCTGTGGAAAATCCGTCTCCGACATAGACGCACATTTATGGCATCACAAGACCCCCGAGGAAAAAGAGCAAGTCATCCAGTCCGGAAAAGGCTTCGCACTCTTGCCGTGCGACCGGTGTGGCAAAGAATTTGTGGGGTTCGACAAACTCCTGGCGCATCAATCGATCGGGAATCGGTGCAAAGGGACTGGACCAAGAAAGTATCCGGTCGTAGCCAAGACTAGGAAACGAGAATTCAGGACTATAAATCGACGAAAATTCCACCCTACCGATCGAGGTCGCCCAGCTCTCCCCGATTTTGTCCAAAAAACTAGTGCCAGAACACAAATTTAGATAAAGGGTGTTGATTTAATTCGTCTCGATTTCTTGTGTCAATATTTGAAAACTTGCACCTCCAAAAAAGGGTGCAAACTTTGAGGTAATTTTTTTAAATCAGAGATACATTGCTGATTAGTCTTCCAGATATTAATATTAATCGTGCCCTTAACTTTTTCTGTGGAATTTGTACTAATTTATATCGGGTTTTCCAAAAACCATTGGGACACAAATTTCGAAAATCAGCGCAAAAATCGAAAATTAAAAAGGAAAGAGTTACATTAACACAAATTGCGGAAGACTAGTTAGTTTTATAAAAACCTCGAAATTTTCACCGTTTTTAGAGGTACAAGCTGTCAAATATTGACCGGAGAAAATTAAATCAACTCCCTTTAATTAAATTTCTGCTGGATTGTCGGTAAAAATCGGAGAGAATACGCTTAAATTGCTCGTTCGGAAAAGGTTCAACCATCCCGAAACGGGCATGTCCCACGTGTGGCAAAATGGTAATCGTGCAAAACCTCCCGCAACATGAGTGGACCCATAAAAATGCGATGGAAAAAGAAGAGTGTATACAACTCGGGACGGCACCAATGCGTCGGTGTCACGTGTGCGACAAACTTATCACTCGCGCAGGTTTAAAGAAACATGTGGAAATGCATTACAAGCGAGAGGGGGAGGAGGGGGCAAATTTCCCGTGTGAGTGGGAAGGCTGTGAGCGCAAATTTTGGCAAGAGAAATACTTGATCTGTCACAGAAAAATGGACCATGAAGGTGTTACGCTTACCCGAAAAGAGAGAGAGGAATTCGGAGTTGGATCGTTCCGATGTCCCGGTAAGATTTTTAAAAAACGCAGTGCAATTTAACCCTTTAAGTAGTAGGATTACGTAAAATATATTAAGGTTGCATTGTATGCGGGTTTTTCACTTTGAATTTTTGTGTTTAAAGTTTCCCAATTTTGAAACTTTTTAGCTTTGCAAACTTAGGAGTTAGAATTTTGATTTGTTTTCTTTTATGAGAAAATGTTTAATTTTTACCTACTATTTTTTACCTATTTTATTCTAATTTATCATGGAAGAGAAATATCAAACTTTCTTACTTTGTAAACGATGAAATTATAGAAGTAATGGAATCTTCATTTTAAAAAATGAAGATGAATAGAAGATGAACAGGTTTCGAAATCGCCATGGAAACGGGAAAGTTGAAGCACAAAACCCAAATTCAAAACCTTCATACAATTGCACCTTAATAATTTTATTCCTTGATTTTATAGACCCAGCCTGCTCATCGCGTCGCTTTTCGACGCAGTTCAACTTGCAAGATCACATTGGTCGTCGCCACAAGTCTCGGGCTGAACGTCCCTTCAAATGCGACATTTGTCAGGCGAGGTTCCTCATCAGCACTGATCTCATGAAACACTCGCGGAATCACCTCCCACGTGCCGAGTTTACCCTCACGTGCCCCCAATGTCCGGTCCTATTTGCTAGGCCCAACCAATTAAGGCTGCACTTAACTATAGAGCATTTCGTCCCGAAGGAAAGCAAGGCGGAGAGATATCGCAAGTATTGCGAGGGAAAGAAAATTGAAGCACAAAAACTAGGCAAGCGAATACATATTTACCTGTTCACATTCATTCATTCAATTATTCATTTATTCAGAATAGGGAGGGACGTGACGTCATGACATGTCATGTCATTAACAAATTGACTGACACCTCATAAATGTCCAATTCGTCACACATTTAAAATTTGTGACAAGTTCAAATTGACAGAAATGTCCAATGTGTCCCTCATATTTCTTAGAAATGTATTCATTATTCAATGAGTGAATAATTTTTTCTTGACCAAATCTTATTCGTTTCTTATTCACGCCATGGTGTAAGTTGAGAAATTTATACATTTATGTAATAAGGCGAATTTAAATTAAAATAACTAAGAAAATGAATATTGAATGAATGAATATGAATGAATAATTTTTTCTCAATTTTAAAATTGAATGAAGAAATATTTTTTTCTAATCTAGGTGGACGACCCCACAAGTGCGACATCTGTCGATTGGGCTTCGTCCTCAAAACGGGCCTCGCCGTGCATCTGAAGAATCACCGTCCCCGAGAAGACTTCACGATTACGTGTCCTCATTGTCCGGGCTTATTTGCTGCATCATCATTGTTAAGGTTGCATTTAACCAGGTTCCATTCGCTGCCAAAGGAAACCTATGCAGAGAAACATCGAAGATATTCCGAGACCAGGAAACAAGCCAAGAAGAAGAAGATGGTCGAAAGTGACAGCGAATTGTAAATTGTCACAACAAAATAATATCTAAAGGGCGTTGATTTAGCTCGTCCCGATTTGGCTGGCCAATATTTGATTGAAAGTTTGTACCCTAAGGCTGCCTGGGACACAGACAAAAATAATTTCTTAAGAATGATGTTAAGGGTTCATTTTTGGACAGAATGGAAAACGGATCCGTAATTCTGTGGAGAAACCCAATCCCCACAGAATTACGGATCCGTTTTCTATTCTGTCCAAAAATGAGCCCTAAACATAATTTTTTAGAAATTCACTCTCCCAGGCACGACGGTGAAAAATTAGGTCAATTTTTTTATTGTTAGGGAAACATTCCTAACTAGCCTTCGGGCAATTTACGCTAGTCATTCCCTTAACTTTGTTGCAATTTTCGTAAATTTGTTTCGATTAAAAACATACAATCGGGACGAATTAAGTCCACACCCTTTATTTAGCTGCGTGAATTATGTACTCCATTTCTAATTAATTTTGTTACCAGGAGTGGTAATGACGCTCCGCCATCATCATCCCGGAGAATGACGAGATCTGGTTCAAAACGAGTCAAAATTGAGCTTATTCCCGATAACGGGATTGAAATTAAGGAAGAAGATTACGCCATTCGAGATGTCCTTTCTTCTCCTTCGGAATGGGCTGAGGATGACGATTACCCCGATTATATGTCCAATTTAGGGTCAAGCGTTGAGATCAAGTCGGAAGATGAAGAGTCAAACGGTGACCTGGACGGTAATTTTGTCGCGATTTAGTGAATAATGAGAGCAACAGCGATATTGCCGAGGAAAGTTAATTAAACGGTTTTAAAGTGTTAAAAATTAAATTATTCATTGCAGACACGATGGAGGGTGACGACGAGATCAAAGAGGAAATGGACGACGATATTGACGACGACGCACGTGACCTAGGCCACGATACAGGTAACATGGGCGACGGTGACGAATAATCAGTTTAATTGTTTATGCGGGAATTAAAAAAAATACTCATTGCAGACACTCACACCACCACGATGGAGGGTGACGGCGAGGTCAAAGAGGAACAGAACGACGACATTGATGGCCTTTGCGACGACACACGTGATAAGGCCGATGACCCCAATGACCTGGACGAGAGCGAGTTCTTGTTTGACTACGAGAGGTCCTACTCTCCCTCCGCGCTCGAAATGGGGGATCCGTTGAAAGAAATTGAGGACGACGACGAGTCCGCCTTTTGTATAACTCCACACCTCTCGAAGAGAAGAAAAATGGGACCCTCGGAGAAAATTAGCACAGCACGGTAATTAAACACTAGACACTTTCAGTGTTTCCGTTTTCCCGTTCGGACTATATTTTCGAAAATATGGGAAATTAATTTTTGAAATGTTTAATATGTATATAATAGAGCAAGGCCGAGTGTACTGTACAAATCCTTTTCGCGTCGATTTCACCGAATTTGATAAGAAAAATTGAAAATTGAATTCCGGGTGCAAGGATACATATAACATAACAATTTTTGAAATATGTTCATCTAACCCCCCTTCAAAAATGGGGGAATAAAATTTGGAAAAATGAGAAAGTCAATGTACACCCCGTACAGTAAAAATTAGACATCAACTTGTATTTGACATTCTAATTCCCCCTTGAATACGAACATTTTCATGCACCGAGAGTTTCAAAATTTGAAAATTAGCGGTTTTTTTACCTACATACAAATCCTCAAAAAAGTCATGGTTCCCACACTTTGCAGTCTGACAACCTGATGCCAGATTTTTCTCCTTCGAAAGATGAACATTCTAAGCTTTTGTTGTCAGACTGTAAAGTGTGGGAACCATGAGTTTTTTGGGGTCAAAGTTTCTGGGGGAGGGGCTTATTTTTGCAAGAGCCGTAACAAACTATTGTCCCTAATGAGAAAATGAGGCATATTCAAATTTGGGATATCTGAATTACAAATTCGCCCCAAATTTAAAACTTAACCTTTTTTGAATTTGTAATCCCGGTGAACAATTTGCAGACAATGAGAAGTGCGACAGACCACCACACGGCACTGTCGCAACGACAGTCAGCGGTGGTGGTGGATATTATTTCTGTCCACACAAAAAAGTGTTAAATGTAACCAAATTATTTAAAGCATGTGTACCCACCAAAATCCGAGTCTCACTCTGCCTCTAGATAAATATGGAAAAGAGTTTTGTAGTACACTTGGTCTGGTTCAGCTCAATACGAACATTTCTGAAGAGTTTTGATTATGTTTGGAATTTTACAATATTAATACCTTAATTTTAAACATAACTTACATATAGCATTATGTAGATTATTGTGTACTGTTGATATTTATGATAAGTGACTTATCGAATTTTAGCGAATATCCTCTAACGGTATTTTTCTTGCTTTATAGGCCCCGAAAATCACCGGGATCGCCCCCTCTTAAAAATTGCGGCTTCGAGAAGAACACAAAGCAGTTAAAAATTTCGCACATTGCGCCGCATACCTTCAAGTGCCCCACGTGCGGAAAATCCTTCGTCAAAGAAGACACCTTCCTTCGCCACGTGGAATGCGGTAACGGCTGCACCGCTCCTTCGTCTCCCTCCACGTTTGACTGCGAAACAACGCGGAACGCCCACTTGAAGTGCGCCCTCTGCGCACATAAATTCCCTGACTCCCACGAGCTCGCGATGCATATGGTCATTCGCCACGAAACTGGCGAAAAGAAATTCCCCTGCATTAAATGCGGCAAAAGATTTGTCCTCGAGGAAAATTTACGGCGCCACATTGACCTGCACAAGATCGAGGCGGAGAAACCCATGGTTTGCGACGTTTGCGACTCCCGATTCGAAGGCAAGGAGCTACTGCAGCGCCATGTCGCGTCGCACAATGCGAAACGCTTTAGTTGTACCGAATGTGAGGCATGTTTTTCCGGTAGAGAAAACTTGGAGAGGTGAAAACGATGAATTTTTTACGATTTTTGATACTAAAAAATAATCTTTCCTTTTTGAAAAGTAAATGCGGTATGAATCCTATACGTTAAGCAAACTCTAAAAAATCTAAGTAGTAATCTTTTACTTTTGATCAAATTAATTAACGTTAGTCTGATTTGCCTGGGTTAACAGTTTGCTTAACCAAATAGGGAAAACAAAATCAAAGATTATGTATGTGGCAGAGTTTTTTTTAAATAGTTATGTAGTTTGTGTGATAAGTTTAACTGATAGTTAATTGTGTGTTTATCCGTTGATAATTAACAGCGACTCTTTAAAAGTTCCTTTTAGAAAAACATAACGTTTTTGCCTGCTTTTTTAGCATAGTTAATTAATGTAGTGTGCATTTACTTATCAAAAGGATACCATTATTTTTACGAGTGTGAACTTATTTAATTGTGAATATTTCCTTCAGACACATCCGCCTCCGCCACACGGGTGGAAAACTGGCGAAATGTGACCAGTGCGAGGAATCCTTCACCGACAAGGCTGCCCTTGTTCGGCACGTGGGGAGCGTTCATACACGTGGCAACCACATCTCCCCCGAATACCCGCGTGATCACATCAAAAGGAAGCACGAGGGGTCCAGCGATACCCATTTTCTGATTACAACCACGCTGCAAAAGACACACACAGAGCGGCTCTTTCTCTGCCCGCATTGCGAGTCTGCCTTCAAAGTGAAGAAAACTTTAAGTCGTCATATCAAAAAGATTCACACGTCGGGCGACACCACCCCGTCGCCACATCGCTGTCCCCATTGTGATACAGGGTTCAAAATCGTGTCCCTGCTTGATGCCCACGTGCGACAAATGCACGTGGGCGAGCGGCCCTTCATCTGCTGCCAGGACGGGTGTAGAAGCACCTTTACGCAAAAGAGATCGCTTCTCTTGCATTTGAGCAATGCGCATAAAGTTGGCGGGAAGTAGGGCGGGGTCAAACTGCCGAGTCAGAAAAGAGAGGATATGATAGAAAGTGCAAATTTATGAATAGGGTGGAATTTTCCATCAGAAATTTATTCGGTTAACCGTGAATATGATGTAAGTAGATTACTTAAAATTTAACGTGATCTGTTGTGCATTGTTTAGATTCGTGGATTAAATTATATATTTCTACAGCGAAATAAAATTATCAACAACAAATTTTCACGTGTGACATGACCTTGGTATTTTTATATGAAGTTCGGTTAATGCGGCACCCCATTTTGATTCCATATCGTGTCTCTCCTAACATTTTGCGAATTCGAAGTATCTAGATTTGGCAGTCCTAATTTGCATGTAGTAAACATGCACGTGTAAGCTCGTGAACATGAATACGTTCCTTATGTGCGTATTTAGGCAGCAAATTTGGTAGTTTTTTATTTAATTGACAGATTTATCAAATTGAATTTAATTCTTGAGTATCGTACTTTTCATCATGAGAGTTTCATGTTAAGAACTATGTATGTAAGGATTAATTTGCTAAATAGGATTATTTAAAGCTGAATTTTAAATACAATTTTTCAGCAATTTTCATGTATTTTAGGTCAAAAATTTTCTTTTGCATTTTGTGACTTTACAGATTTTCTGGCAAATTAGTATGCAGGCGTCGAGTTTGCTGCTTCTCAAAGTAACTCTTACCCAATTTTCATCAATATTTGTCAGGGCTTTCTAGTTAATTAGTCAATCTAATTAATTATCTAATTAAATAGCATGTTTAAACTAATTAGTAATTACTAATTAACCTTAACTAGTACTACCGAAGCTATTTAATTACTAATTAATTAGAAAATCACTAAAAATCACCAATTAATTGGTCAATATTCTAGTTAATTAGTTAATTAATTTGCTTAACTAGCAACTTGAGTTTAACTACTAATTACCAATTAATTAGCCAAAATATTTTCGTTCTAATAATCAATTACTAATTAATTAGAAATGTGGCTAATTAAAAAGCTGTGATATTTGTCTACACAACGTGGTTACACAATTTTTATTCGAGCGGCATTTCGCCTTAATCAGAAAAAAATTGTATGAAACTATCAAAAGCATAATGTTCACTACTTTATAAACCTTTCGCCTCACCTCTACGAGAAATAGACCAACCGCTAAAACCACGCACGTTCCCGACAAAATAAATATTGTCACTATCGCCCCATCCAAACCGAACGCTGTGGCACCTTGACGATCAAGCTTAACTGCTGGCTTTCTTCGAAAAAATCTCCTATCGCTCAGCTCTTGCACAATTCTGCCATAAATTCCGGCATCGATGAGATACTGATAATACTTTGGAACCTTCGACATTTTCCCCTCAACAGAAAAAATCATCCCGATAACGGAACCGATCCCTCCGAACAAGGTGTCCCTTCCCTTATAAAACTTCTTCCCCTCGTAATTCTTGGATAAAAAGTGATATTCTGCCACCAGGTAGTCCAAGGATGAAATAAAGACTGATTTTTTGTTGCAATCTACCACGTCCTTTTCCACGCTGTTTCGAATCTCTGTCTCGTTCGGGTAGCTTTGATTGTAATTATAACCAGTAGCGTGATGAGGGTGATGCGGCATGAACAGGCTGAACGTGAGACGGTACTGCTTCACGGTGTACGAGTTCCACCTTTTTTCAGGAGGAGAGCCATCATTCATCTAATTAATTACAGAAAAACATTCAATTTTCGTAAAATTTAAAGTCTTAAAATTTTTCAGAGGAGGCTTTCCCAAAGTAATTTACATAAATAAGGTCTGATTCATAAGTTGTGGCACTGTTTGAAAAGTCGCTCATTACTAAACAAGAAGTTGATATGGGGAACAACTTTGTTCGTAGTAGTTACAAATGCGATGCACAACATAGATCAAAATCACTTCGGTCCCGTCGACCCTCTAGACGAAATTTCTAACAGGTTTTTCCAGGCCTGTTGATTTTTGTTTTTCTTGACTTTCTCCCCACAATCTTTAGGTTTGGCTCATTACGAGTCGAATTCAAAGCAAGATTTTCGTCCCTTTAGGTCGTCATGAATGTTCTCTTTCGCATCAAGCTCAAAATCTTTCTATCCTACTTGTTTGGAGAAAATTGTTGACATGTTCCAATTTTGCCAGAAATCAAATTTTTTTCTCGTTGAGGTAGTCGGTAAAAACTCAACCGTAATGGCAGGTGGCTTCATGTGACCAAAATCTGACTGGGTCTACTGATGACCACTGATGTAAGGAATTAATTGGTGTTTGCTACATTTTCATAAATAAAGACATGGGGTCATGGTCCAATCCATAATTGAGGGCTTTGAAATTGCTCCATTTTCTTCCCAGGCTAACCAAATCTGTCAGTTTTTGCGAATTTGACTGTGGGAAATAGACAAAATTCATATTTCACATCCTTACGACTTGTAGCAATAAAAAATTTCTAGGTGCAAAATTTTCGTGGCGTTATTGCGATGTACGCTTCGTCACAACTGGCAAGTATTTTGGATTACAGTTTTTTGCAAATTTAGTTGCATCCCATTTTGGCTCTTAATTTTTCCTCTTTAATGTACCTTAAGGCCTTGGTTTTAAATGTTGTAATCTCCTATCATCCTGCTTTAAATCGGCTAAAAGTTGGTTAAGATATCTTTACCCGTTTGGCTGCTAGGTTCTCTAACGTCAATGGCGTTCCCTGAAAATTATTGGCATTGCTTTAATGACTTTGGATGTAGTCTGCCACACTAGGTGATGAATAATTTTTTTGAATTCGACTGATTTTGTTGAGTCATACATTGGTGTGTACCCAGAAATTGAGGGGTTTGAAATATTTTCACTTTTGAGTTGGTGGTGTGTCTTTTTCTTGTCCAACTTGGCCGCTTTTTTGTACAAGTGCACCACGCGATTTGCTTGGACTTGTTTTTATTTTTATCTGACGATGTTCTTGTTTAATTGCTAACCTTTTTGAACTAAAACCCTAACACTACATCGGTTTGGCTATCATATGCAACAATTCATCCACACGAATTTGAATCTCTGTTAAAGCTGGAGTATACGAAAAAACAATGCCACAACTTATGAATCAATCCTTATTTGTACACTGTTCGAAATGAACTCTTGGAAAACTGGTATTAAATCGTTCCTAATGGGAATATATGTTTATGGGACTCTGCCTTCCCTTGTAATAACGGGCGTTCAATTTTTCTAAGGAAGAAAAAATAATCAAATTCTCTTCTCAGTTTTAGAAACCTTATTAAATTTGCCGATTTTTATGGTTTTTTACACATCCAAAATACATTTTTAACTGGTTAGACAAATATGAGCAACCTTGATACTTATGTAGATTCTGTATAATATTGTGGTAATAAAAAACCTACTATCAAGCAACTTTGCGGGGCCTTTTAAGATGGCATTGATACCAATGATACCATCTTGGTAGTTAATGGCAACACATTTGGGTGGAAAAAACCCCCACTGGCCAACTACTTGGCCGATCATGCCCATCTCCGAACTCATCCTTACTTTTGACCCGAAGATGAAGTGTGCAAAATTTCAAGTCGATAGCTTATGTTTAAAGAGAGTTATCGTGCACAGACGGACGCACAGACGGACGGACAGACAGACATCTTGGTAAATCTATAAGGCCATCTTAAAAGGCCTAAAAATTACACAACATTGAGTGTTATAGAAATGTTAAGAAATAGAATGTTATGACCACAGGGTAAAATTTATTTCATAATTTGTTCCCCTGTCAGACAAATTTTACACAAGTTTAGATAAATTTTGAACAAACGTTGGCTACAATTGCCTTGATTGTGTCATCCTCCTTTTTGTTCAACCTTGACTAAATTTCACTTATATTTATTTCGAACATGCAACCCAAAATCCATTGGAGTTGAGTGATTCCTACTTAAATTTTATATTAAGGCTTCCATTCCTAGAATATTGGACGACTTACCATTATTAAAAAATGGAGAAACTCTGGCAAAGCCGGATAGCCATCTTCCTCATATTTGAACGGAAGTGATAAGAGATGAAAGCAATTTTGATTTGAATTTGGCAGCGGTACAGCTAGCTTTTCCCGCGCATATAGTCCCACCTGATGAAAGTACGCCATCACAATTTTGATACTATCTTCCATATCTTCCCCGTTTAAGGAACGAATCGCCTTTTCAGACAACCACTTGCAAACGAGGTCCCCCCAAACGTGGGGGTGTGAAAGTCGTAGCGGTGCATTTAATTCGGTCGCCATCAAACCGGTGTAGCAATTCGATACAATCACCCCCATGAGGCACCAAATCCCGAAAATAATGCGGACATAGTATATCTTCATTTTGTCGTCGGGCAGATAACACTGCGTGAACAGGGCGCCGCACACGTGCCACCATAACTGCGCCAGAGAAACGTTACTTTTCAAAAATAGCGTGATTGTCAACACATTTATAACGACGAACACAGATACGAGCAAAGCAATCCATACGGCCGGTTGGAATGGTTCCAGGTAGAAGGAAAACGTTAGATAGTGATCCGCATAACAGGAGAGATAGGATATTCCCCAGATTTTTGTCAGTATTCGTACCGCGTTCTCAAGTTCCCCCACAAGCGGGGAGTTTAAACGGAAGGTTGCCTTGTTCCTGCAAGCGCTAAGGGTACGAGTTAATTGCAAGGAATCGTTCGCACTGGTAAGCACGATTTGCATGAGATGTTCCAAAGAATAGGGGATACTACGATTGAATGGATTTATCGATTTGAATGACGGCGTAAACGCGGTTGGAATTTTTTCATGTAAGGGTATTTTGAGACACAGGTGACTAATTGGGGCGCGAATTGTTCATTTATTAAAAACTTTAGCAACAAATCCATTTGATGCATTGTGCATTTCGTTGTTGCACCAATTTCATCAATCTGAACGCGACAAAATTCGGGTTTGTCGTTATTGAGAAGGAATAGAAACCCAAAACTGTTGAATTCCAAATCGGACATGAAACTCGATTCCCGCAATTCCTGCAAAACTTTGGCCTTTCTTAAAGTCGACAGGAGAGTGATGACTACATTATCCGACGCAATATACAAATTCCCTCGCGCAGGTCGAACGAAAAACATGCTAAATCTTGAAGCTATTTGGATCCAATTATTCAAACTGGTGCCTGAGTCTAAGACTTGTTTTGGGTTTCCGATTAAATGGGAAACAATGAAGGAGATTATCCGACAAGGGGA